ACAAGGATTATGGTTCTTTGTCAAGAAAATAATTCTGTTCTTGATGCCTGAAAACATGTCTTATTTATGACATTTATTTTCTTTTCCAGCTTGTAGTTGGCATTCCTTTATTCGAATTTCTGTGCAAAAACCATCTTACCTGTGTCCTATCCACCAGTTTCGTATTCCATATACTGTGTTACTTCACCAACTGACACAGACCCCAAAACATTAGTAAAACTTGTCTCTCTTTTTCTTGTAGTCTGTTGGAATGGGAGTGTATTAAAAGGATAATTTCTTACCGTTAGCCTTCTATTGTCTTGTCCAGAAAGACTTTATTCTTCAAATATAAGACCACTGTGTACCATCTATCTTCATTTCTCAGTTTTGCATCCCCAAGTTATTTCCAACCAAATTAACTCTGGAAGAAATTATCTTGAGAAGGACTTGAAACTTGCTATGTTTCTTCATATTTTACATGAAGTTCTTATATTTTTCCTTTATATTTTTGCAGGTAGACAATATAGAAGATAGCTTCAGTATAATCAAATCAAAGCCTAAACCTCTTGCTGCATATCTCTTCACTAACAATGAGAAGCTGAAGAAGGATTATGTGGAAAATATATCTTCCGGAGGGATGCTCATCAACGACGCTGTCATACATGTAGTTCTTCTCTTCCTGAATTTCTACATGAAAAATTATCGTATGCTAGCATACCTTTTTTTTTCAATCATGATCATATTTTCATAAATCCATTGTTCTCTTTGCACAGTAGAAGGAGAGGGAAAATATATGTTCTCTTTATTTGGCATCTTTCAATGGCATACATAAAATGATTCAACTTTGCTGGAGAGAATTTCGGGTGGTTGGCTCATATAATGTTGACTTGAATCAATAATTGAGGAAAACTATTATTTTTCTTATTCTAACACTATCCCTTAATTTTATCAAAGGTAATAATCATTTACTCATGCAAGTGTGGTAAGAATCTTAAATTTACATGCAGTTAACTTTTACCATTGAATTTCATGTTTGTCGCCATGTTTTGTACGTTTAGATTGATGATCAATATGTTGCAGTTTCCAAAAGCAACGGCAGGAAATAATTATGCACTTGATGAAATTGAACTTGTCTTTTTATGCTCATGCCTTTGCCACCTTAATTGTATATGGGGCATGCACTGAAATGAAACGTGGAAATCCAGTGCACATATTCTTCAAATGAAATCAAGACTTGAAAATTTTAAGCCAGTTTATACATGCATTTAAACTTGCTTATATGTATACATGTATGTATTTACCTATGTTACTGGCTCACTCAGGTAAAATATCTATCAAATATTGACTAAATGAATCATCTCATATACTATAACGTTCATGCAGGTTGCAACTCGTGGTTTACCTTTTGGAGGAGTTGAAGAGAGTGGAATGGGTTCTTACCATGGAAAATTCTCTTTTGATAGTTTCAGCCACAAAAAGTCAGTTCTTTATAGAAGTTTTGATGCAGATTCATCCCTAAGGTACCCCCCATATACCCCTCAAAAGGAAAAACTGTTGAAGGCCGTTATCAGTGGCAATATTTTTCAAATAATTCTTGCATTGTTTGGATGGTCTTGAGAATGATAGAATGTGTTTTTTTGTACACATTATTGACTTGTGCCCTTTTTACAATGTCACGAATTAGGAAGTTCTAAAACAATGTGCTAGGTCTCAGGGTCAAAATTTAACTGCAATTTTGTCCCATGAGTTTTCAATCGCATGAATGTGTTCTTTTGATTGCTATTCTGCTCTAAAGATGCTACTGCTTGCTAGAAATATAGAATAGTAGTGTGGCAACACAACATATAGGGGGGTTTAACTATTTCCAATTTTTTAAATTTAAACTATGATTGACAAAATCATTGTTGTCCAATTAAAATTGTAATTTTAATTAAAATGAATAAACATGTAAAGTAAAAAAAAGTATGAATGCATTTATTACTAATTTCAATCAAAATATCTTGTAATCTTAACTAACTTAAAATGGTCATACTTTTTTTTTGCTTCATTATTATGATTAATTAAATTCTAAAAGTACCTAAATTATTTCACTAGTTAACATTTTTTTTTTTCCTGAAAAAGTGGGAAAAAAAAAAGACGCTTGATTTGCTGCTATTCTAAAGAGATGCTATTATGTTCAGAGAACTTGGAATAAAATGATTCAAATTGCATTTTATATTTAACTTTCCTTTGAAGAATATGCTAAGTATCTTTTCTTTTGTTCTTAAAGCCAATATGTGAAGTTATAGAATCTATTTTGCCTTTTCGCATTAGATTGTCTTTGCGTTCGACCCATATTTTGTTACGTTGGTTTCATTTTTTAAGCCTCAACTTCAAAATGGTGTTGCTGTGTAATCTTTAGATTCATGACAAGTGTAATATTGAGAAATAATCGTAGCTATTCGTCGAAACAAATCATATTTTATACAAAAATTTTCAATTATTAGCAATTTAACCAAACACACACAATCAAACATTTTTAATGGCCAATTTTTTAATATAATTATACATATAAAACTATAAAAGGCATGCCTTCTCAATCCAAACAAAAATCACCTAACCGAGTTTTTTTCTTTTAACAAAATTAAGTTTAATTGCTATGTTCTATAAATGTAAAACACTTTTACACTGAAATCCAATTATATCTCGTTACTTAATACCTTACCACGCAACAAAATACTTGATTGAATTAATGTCACTTATAGCTACTAAGTCATGCATTCATAATGACTTGAGTGCTAGATGTTTCTTCAAGTTATTATAAGCTTAATGTTCCCTAATATGCCTAGCTATGGACAATATCTATCCACCACAAACACCAATTATGATTGTTATCATAATTAGAGTCTTTCTCATGATTTAACCTCCGTGCATGCAATTAGAAAACCTTTCCTTCCTAACAACTTAATGAACGCTTTGTTTTGGTTAGAAGAAGAAAACATGTGAAAAGAAAATAAAGTCAATAGAAATAAAGAAAAGGAAAAAATGATTTATTATCTATTAAATAGAGAAAAAAAGGCAAAAAGTATTTAAAATAATCTTAATAACTTATTTTATACCATATAACGTGAGGATAAAATTACAATATAATTAATCTTAACTTGAGGAGTGAAAATTTTTATTATCTTGTGAATTTGGAAAGAAAACAAATATAATTATTATTTTTTCTCTTCTTTTCCTGCCTTGTCAAATGAGACAAGGGACATTGAATTTTTCCCCCCCTTCATCTCCAATCTAAGGTAACAAGGACTATTTAAGCCAATAAAAAAAATAAATTTAGGGTAATAGAAGGAGGGGCGAGGGAAGAAAGAAAAGAATAGGAGAAGGAACATTTAAATTACTTTTTTAAAATTAAATTAAATTAGTTTAATTAACAATAGTAATATGATATAAAAAAAAGTATAAATTGACAAAATATAACACTATCAGTATCTTTATACAAAGGAGCTTTTATATTGACAATGCATAACAATAAAATTTAATTAAGTTTATGCAAAATCAAGTTTCAGAGATATAATGTATAACACATTTTCTTGGACAAAGGGCAGGGACCATGCATTTATTATGGTTAAAGGTAAAGAAATTAAACAATTTTCGCAATAATTTTCACTTTTTGGTGTGTCTGTTCTTCAACTCAGGAGCAGTTCGTTTTATCGCTTTCAGACGAGGCGTGATATTGTCAAATCCTTGTATAATTGATGGTTTTATGAATCAAAACTCTCTTTAAGAATGTGTTTAGTTACTCATTAGAAATTTAAAGAAAAATATGTTTACATTACCAACGCTGATGAGTTTGAGTTTAACTATAAAATCTACCTCAATATTGGCTGCTATATGATGTTCTAATTTGTTGTTTTCAAAAATAATGCCATGCATAGTGTCCATAGAAGGCATTAACAAAATCATAAAATTTAAACGCATTTTTAATCTTTATATTTTACCTAAAATTTAGTATTAAGTTTTTATTTTCTTTTATAATTTTGTGTCCTTATAATCGTATGCTGTTTTTATTTTAATCCCTGCAACTTTATTTTCTTTAGATGTAATCTTGTATTTTAAAAGCTTAATTTTTTTAATTTTATAAATTTAGACTTTTGTTCTTACGATTATATTATATTTCAGTTTAATTTTTATTAGTTAATTCTATTTAAATTTTATTCGTTATATTATATCAATTGTCGATCCAAAAAGTTGTACTTTACGACACATTTTTTTTGTTTTTGGTTGTTGGTAAAACAACAATTGTGTCTTAGCACATTAATAATAGTAAGGACCAAAATTAAAATTTTTAGAGCGATATGAAAAAAAAAACTTTAAAGTGCATAAATAAAGAATAATTCAAACAAAATTATATGGACCAGAAAATATATTTGAACTAAAGAATAATTATATAATAATCTAAAAATTCATAAATCAAATTAAGGATCTGTTTATTTTAAAGGGTTTATTGTGTGTTCCATAAATTAATTTTAAAGGTTAGAGAAGCAGGTACTAAGTCAAAGACGTTCCAGATTAATAAGTTAATCATAATTAGTGAATCAGGTCGTGATTAACTAACTAGTCATCAATACACGACACAATTTTCCAATTGTCATTTAGTTGTATTAATTATGTTTAAGCTCAACATTATCACATCCATACCGAACATGAAACCACGTAAATTTGAGAATGAAAAATACAACAATACAAGAACAACTTGCTGTCCAAGCAAAAATGTGTAAAAACTAAAAGTAACATAATTTTAATTTATTGTATTTTGCAAAAATATTTTCAAGACAAATTATCTAACGTTCTTTAAATGCTTTTATGCTAAAGTAAAGATTTACTTCGGTAATTAATACTAACTTTCACTGTTAATTTTGATTGTATAAATTAGATAAAATCCTGATTTTAATTTAAAATAAAATACTATTGCTAAAATTTATCCTATTTTTGCGAGAGTATTGGAAGGAGACAAGGAAGAAGTTTCCAAGAAACCAAGAGTCAGACACAGAAAGCTTAACACTTGTTCAGTGCTTTCATATCCACTCCCAAGTTTTTTTTCTTTCTTTCATCTACTTCAAAGGGTTTTGATAATGATTGCAGAGAGAGTTCAGTGTTGTTGATGCTTTGCGAGGAAGAAAGGAACAAGAAACCGAAGCAAGAGAAGCAATACCACTTCTAATGCCGTGGTTGTTCTGTACTTTCCTCCTTCCTAAACCCAAACCCAATCGAACGTTATCACTCATATTCCTATGAACTAAGTTGAAGAAAAGAAGCAAAACCAATACCCATGAATCAAGGATCCTATATGGACTAGTTCAACCAACAAGAATCAACAACTTTAATTTAAACTCAACCCCACCACTCGTCAATTTTTTCATCCTTACATTCTAAAAAGGAAGAATTAAAAAAATTAGTACTTGCTTGGATTGACACACGGAAAGAGAAGAAGATGAAGATAGGGAAAGTGGGTTGGTTGGTGATGGTGCTAACAGTGATGATGGTGTTCAACGTCTGTACTTGTTCAGCTTGGTTTGGTAATAGACACAAAAGTGGAAGGAATCCCATTCTCCCTAGTGAAGCCACTTCATCAAGGCCAAGGCTCTTGAATCCTGCTGGTTCTTCCATTGTGTTTCCCGTTCATGGCAATGTTTATCCTGTTGGGTAAGTTAAATGAGTTCTTTCGTGGTTGCTTGCGAATACTTTTTCATATTTTGGGTATTGGTAGAGAGCAAAAGGCAATAACTTTAAAACTTTTAAGTAATCTTTAGTGGACTTATCTTTTTCCTATTTTTGAAAGACGTGAGTATCCAAATTCATAATTGGAATATTTCTTTCTTTCTTTTTTTTTAATGGTTGGATTGGACCTATTCTGTTACTTTTGATATTTAATAATTGACTATTTAAAGAACAAAATGAAAGGTATCGAGGAAATTTGATTTAAGCCTGTTTGGGAGAAGGGAAAATGGAAGAAAGAAAGAAACTTGGGGAGGAAAAAATGGATCTTTTTGTTAAAATGAGTCATCTTTTGATATTGATGGTGAGATGGGAATTGATATTCTAATGTAAGTCGCCGTTAATTTCAATATTTGCAGGTTCTATAATGTTACTCTCAACATCGGTCAGCCTCCAAGGCCTTATTTTCTTGATGTGGACACGGGTAGTGACCTCACATGGCTCCAATGTGATGCCCCTTGTACCCATTGTTCTGAGGTATTAATATTATTACAGTGACTGTAAGGGAAATCCCCCAACAATTATTTCCTTTTGTGAATCTTAACAGGAAAAGAATGTGAAGTATAACATCTTGTGAAATTGAAATGTTCATTCTTGCATGTAGATATGGGTAGATACGTGCAATCTTTGTGTGGTTGAATTTCATTTGTTGCTTATTTTTTTCAGACACCCCATCCACTCTACAGGCCCAGCAATGACTTTGTCCCCTGCAGGGATCCCCTGTGTGCATCCTTGCAGCCCACTGAGGACTACCACTGTGAAGACCCTAATCAATGTGACTATGAAATTAATTATGCTGATCACTACTCAACCCTTGGTGCACTTCTCAATGATGTCTACCTTCTCAACTTCACCAATGGAGTCCAACTTAAAGTTCGGATGGCACTTGGGTTAGTTTACCCTGCAACCTTTGCTTCACCAACTCTCAACCATTTTTACTTTCTTTGTCTGTGAATGTTCTCTTGAAATATTGGTGTTTCGCAAGCTTGCTTTTTGAACTTCTGATCTGAGTGAGAGATCAAAATTAATTAATACCAAAACAATCATGTTTTTCATAGTATATTTTTTTCCCTAAAGAATTTGAATATATTCTCTTTTAGATAGTATGTTTGAAGAAAGTAATGTCTAGAAAGATTTCAAAACAATTGCTCTACTGTTGCATGATCAGCCTGACATGCCATGATGATTACAATCTAGGTTGTATATATTTTTGTTAAGTTATTCCTAATAGTTATCTAATGCACCTCTCCCTGTTTCCTTTCCACAGATGTGGATATGATCAATTCATTTCACCTTCTTTTTACCACCCCGTTGATGGAATACTTGGCCTTGGAAGGGGAAAGACCAGCGTGATATCCCAGCTGAATGGTCAGGGATTGGTGCAAAATGTGATTGGACACTGTTTAAGTTCACAAGGAGGAGGTTACATCTTCTTTGGAAAGGTTTATGATTCTTCTCGAGTGAGTTGGACTTCAATTTCATCGGTAGATTCGTAAGCACACATTCAGAAGTCAGATCCTCATTTTTTACATTTTCCATATGTATTGTATTGATTCATAATTCTATGTCCTGATTTGAATCATCTGTGCGATTGTGTCAGCAAACATTACACAGCAGGGCCAGCTGAACTTGTTTTTGGAGGAAGGAAATCTGGGGTTGGAAGTCTGACTGCTGTGTTTGACACTGGGAGTTCTTACACTTACTTCAACTCTCATGCTTACCAAGCATTAATTTCTTGGGTCAGTTAAAGCAGCTTTCACTATATTCCCCAATTTGAAGTATTTCAGTAAGCATGAAGCATTTCATCTATAAGATCAAGCCAATTTCATCATGAAGATTCAAATTATATAAAGAAAAAACAACTAAACAAAGTACTTTAAGTATCGGTTTTGTTAATATCAGTCCGTAGAAGTGATCTTTAAGTAACTAAAAGTAGGTTTTATTAGAAAAGAAAGCATCCATTATACCTTTGTATTTCTGTGGTAAAAAATATTGGCAGGTTACTTAAGATGTTGTTTCATTGAATTTCCAAATGTAGTTGAAGAAGGAATTGAGTGGAAAGCCAATAAAAGCAGCTCCTGATGACCAGACTTTACCTCTCTGCTGGCACGGTAAAAGACCTTTCAAAAGCATAAGTGAAGTTAGGAAATACTTCAAGCCTCTGGCACTTAGTTTCACCAATGGTAGAAGAGTCAAAGCTCAATTTGAGATCCCTCCTGAAGCTTATTTAATAATATCAGTGAGTTAACCTATCAATATTTTGTTAACTTGTTTACTTCCATCATAATTCATAAGCTTATCTGATGTATTTCATCTGTGCATCTGTCGTGCCAGAACCTGGGAAATGTTTGTCTGGGCATTCTTAACGGCCCTGAAGTAGGGTTGGGAGAACTGAACCTAATTGGAGGTAGGAATTTTGGTTTGTTTTTACTATCTCATTCCTTCTATTTTTCCTTTTGGGTAATGTTTTTTGTAACTTGTATTACAATTCTTCCCCTTTCAGCACTTCTTATCAAAATACTTCATGAACTTTGCATATGTAAGTCTTGGTATTTATTGTTTATGCAGACATATCCATGCAAGATAAAGTGATGATATTCGAAAATGAGAAGCATTTGATAGGTTGGGGACCTGCAGATTGCAGCCGTGTTCCAAGATCCAGAGATGTCAGCATTTGATCATAAATTAAAAACAGAAAAAAAAAAAAAAACATAGTCCAGGCATGCATATGGTTGAATGATATTGTCCTGCAGTTTATAGAGCAACGTGATAGTACTACTTGATACTAATGTATTGTCTTCCTCGTGTGTATGTACATTGGCTAGTGATTGGTGAATGCATCCTTATGTGTTATAATAATAATATATTGGATCAGGGTATGTATAGGTTCATCATGATATGAGGACATTAGTGTAGTATTAGTGTAACATTCTGATTACAGATGTAACTAGTCAAATGACATTAGTTTGACTGTATTGTTATGAGGAATTAATTTAGAATCTAAAGGGTAAAGACGATGCAAGTTGATGCAGGATAGGTATGCGTCACTAATTATTCTATGCATCATCCTTTTCAATGGTCTCAGAACTATCCAGGTTCGACTGCAGAAAAACACGTATCCTTTCCATACATACTGCTAATTATACAGATACAAATCCACACGCCATGAAAAATGTAAAAGTTTGCAATTTTAAAGTAAGAGTTCCCCTTTCTAATTATTTTCTTTTCTTCTACCATTTTTTTCCTGATTTGCTTCAGACGTGGATTGTTTTAAAACTATGAAACATGGACTGAAGGACTGATTTGAAGGAAAGTAAACCTTACACTTAATAGTTGTTTACTTAGAAGACTGTATTGAAAATAAAAAAATATTTATATATATAACAGACATATAAAAAAATCCCAGTAGAATAGCAATGGAACAAGAATTTTTCTACGGTAGAGGGTTGACAATGGATCTTCACCCATTCGAGATCATTCTACTTATTTATAGTTACACGTGATCTCATTTTTCCTAAGGTTTAACCCATGGCAGTCAAATTCAACAATCCCAAGAACACAGAATAGGGACTACAGGTGCAGACCAAAGCCGGCACTTCTAGCAGTTACGTAGGCGTGAATGTGGTTTTGTCTTTAACGAATTAAAAATTCACGTGAGGGACCCACCGTTCCTTATTAGGGTCCCCACACTGTCTTAAAGAATCAAAATGTCTTGGGTAGGTAAGCCAGCATATCCTGCCAAGGTTGGTACTGGGCCTGAGGGGCAAAAGGGTCATCTGATGATAGGTCCATCAAAATATCGAAGCCCAAAATTGGGTCTGGCCCGAAGTCAAGGTCGTTCCACTTAGCGTCGCTCCGAACCTCCTTGTCGCACGTGACATCCGGGGAAACCACGTGCTCGGAGCAGCTGGAATCGGACGTGTCCGTGTACAATTGGTCGTTCCTCAGAACATCGTGGCCGTACATGTTGATCTCAGGCTTGGTCTCGTGCTGAAACTGAGCCTCATCTGAAAACTTGGGAGCTTTCTGATCCATCACACCAACGCTATTGTATTTCTCAATCTTCCCTTTCTTGTTGTAAATTCGGCACAACACCCAATCATCAAGCTGCCATTTCATTAACATAACCATCATTATCAAATAAATAGATAGTATGATGAATTGAAATACAAAGAAGAATGAAGGTTAATATAAGTGCATACATACATACATACCCTCAAGTTGTTGTTGTTGGTTTTCTTGTTGGCGGATCTGTCAACATTAGCGAGGCGATATTCATGCATGATCCAATTGGTCTTTACTCCTTTTGGGGCTTTGCCGGCGTAGAACACGAGTGCCTTTTTTATCCCTAAAGCCTTCGGCTTTCCGATCGGCTTGTCGGCTCCGGTCGCCTTCCAATACCCGGTTCCAGCCGCACGGTTCGGCCGCGAACCGTTTGGATATTTTCTGTCCCTCGGAGAGAAAAAGTACCATTCTTTCTCACCGTAAAGAGCCATTTCTGTACATAAACAAAAACCCCAGTTATTATATCTTATTTTGACATTGTTTTACACAATGAAATTTAGCAAAACATCCCGATCAAAAAATAAGAAACAGAGAGCACGTTGTACATGATTCGCATCCCGTGTTTAACCCAATGAAAAATGATGCTGTGTTTTCAAATTCTCATTTACTTCAGCCAATCTTTTTTAGGGAAAAAAAAAGTCATATAATATTTGAGAGAAAAACAGTACCCTGCTTCCTTGAAATTTTTGTTGTTTAAATGAAGGGAATTGAAAAAAAAAAAGGCAGAAAAATGTGGAGTGGAGAAAGAAGTACCTGGAAGCTGCCATGGATCAAACTTATACAAATCGATTTCTTTGATGATGGGAACAGCAATGGACTGAGCAGCACACTTTCTACACAAGTAGTGATTGACAAGCTCATCGTCGGTGGGGTGAAATCTGAACCCGGGTGGTAATTCCAATTCACCTTGCATTCGCGTTTATTCTTCTTCTTCTTCTGGTTATTTCTGCGGCTGCAACTTGGAACTTGCGAAGAGACGGAGGAAGTTGGGTTTTATAGTGGGAGTGAAAAATGTAATATTGACACGTGGGTGGAGGAAGGTGGCACGTAGGGTAGAGAAAAGCCTTGAACTTGGAAGCTTTGGTGAGGGTAAAGCTGAGCGCAGCCAGCACGTGGCAGCATGTGAGTGGAGAGAGACGCTTTGTGTGTTTGTAATGGTTTCCTTTTGTCATTGCTTCCGTCACAGCTCCAAACCGGTTTTGGGAAATCGTTGACTGGTGTGGTAGCGGCTCTGTCTTTTTCGGTCGACCACATCTGTAGTGACTACTCACTACTCACTCGTCGTCTCTACCCTCCAACATGTCTTCTTCTACCCAATTATACCATGCCACCTGTACCCCCATTTTCTTTTTTACTCATTCAATGCTTCCTTCTTACTAATCTATCTTCTCCCCAGATAATCCTTTTCACTCTCTCTCTCTCACTAAAACTCAACTGTTTATTTTTATATTCAATAGTTTAAATTAGTCAATAAAAAAATAAATTGGACTATTTTATAACGTTTCATTTCTATAAAAACAAATGCTTGACCATTGTTTGTGTGGGTCGTTTTGATGATATAACAGTACCTCTCTCCCATGACCAAAACTTGGCACAGCACACAAATTAAGGCAGGCAGTGACAGAGAGACTAATTTGGGACCCTCCTTTTAGTGTGTTATGTGACTAGCGGTAATGATATGAATAATAGCAGTAACAGGTATGCAGTCAAAAAAATTGGATAAGTTATTGAGAGTTGCATGAACTTGGACATATTATTATATGCATATTTGAATTGGGTAGAACATTCTTATCTGGGGGATTAGAAAATGGATTCAGAAATAGTAAAATGAATGTGAAACCTAGTTAGTGTGATGTAGTGCGTGAGCTAGGCGTACGTGGATAAGGACGTTGGTCTAATGGGGAAGCTACCAGGATGTTACCTCGTAAAGGATTTTATGTAGACCAGTCGACAAATCCACCAATTGATGGTCGATATTTCGGGAATGAAACCCTTTTTAGTTCCCCTCAGGTCAATCAAGTTGCTATCCCCTTCTTTGTCAATTTGGCCAGCTTTGATCCTTTTTCCTTTTCAAACTCCTTTGACCTCTATCTTTTACCACTACCTATACTGTTACTAAATTTTTCTTATTATTTATTTTTAAAATATAATATTCTTATTTATCGTTTCACACACAACAAAAAAATCAGATTGGGTGAAGCAAGAAAATTGTTAAGTAATTTCAACAAAATAATTAGAATACTGAATTTGTAATTTTTTATTTTTAAAATAATAAAATGAACAAAGATAGTACTCTAAAATATGCACATATTAAAAATAGACTAAGAAGATTAAAGATAAAATGTTAAAAAAATCATTAAGGTCTTCTTCAATAGCATTTTAAGAGATTAAGGATTAACAGTACTGTTTTTTTAATAATCATGTTAAGACTACATTAAAAATCAATGCAATATTAATATTTTTAATAACAAATATTTTTTTTAGAGTGTACTTGTACCACAAACTTTTAACTTATTTAAGAAATTATAAATAATTAAGTTAGTTAATAAATTAATAGATCTATTTAATCAATATATAATAAAAGGAGTTTATAACTTTTAAAAATTAACTCTTAATAATTTACTTATCGTGTTTACTCTTTTAGTCATTTAATATGTTTTAATTATTTTGTATAATTTTACTAGATAATTATAATTCAATTAACTAACTACATAATTTTATACTTCTAACTACAAAGTATAATATTTCAACTAATATCATAATTACAAGTTAAAAAATTAATTTTATCAAATATAATCACAAAAGTTAACTTAAGATACTGATTAGCATTTATAAAAATATTATTAGTCTAGCTATCCAAAATAAATTATTAATTACCAATATCCTATCTATCTCTATGTTTTAAATACCAGTCTTCAATCATCCCCTTTCTTTTTATGACATGAAATTGTTACATTGAACATTTTTAAATTAATTTTAAAATTTTATTAAATTCAATCGTGTCTAATATGATGATATATTTATTATTAATAATAAAATTATTACTTCTTTTAAAAACATTAAATTTAAAATAATTAAATAGTATATACATAATTGTTATTATTAATTAGTTAACTTTAAAAAATACTTTAACTTAATAATATTAGTACAGAATACACAAACTCATTAATTATAATAAACTACAGTGTCGTTTCTTTGCAAGCGACAATAATGTTATTCAAACAATAAACGTCGTTAATCAATTAGGTGCGAAAATTTAAAGTGCAGGTCGATCGTTTACTATGATTAAAGTTAATTTTAAAATAAATTAATTAAAAGTAATTAGATTTAGTGTACGTGCGACACAGACTCACTATTTTTTTTTTCAAAAAGTTAAAAAATTATTCATTTTATTAATTAAACAGAAAATATTATTATTCTTATATATTTTTTGGTCTCATCTAACAAAATAAAAGTGTTAACATCGTGTATGTTTGTCTGCTTATGAATATTTTGAAAAAGTTTTCGTCCATCTTTTGGTCTTTGAAATTTTCCTTTGGTGACAGTATTATAAAGTGGCATCTACGTCTATGCTTGATTCCTTGGGCAACAAGTTTGTTACTTTCTAGCTGCATACATATACATGGTCGTCGCCGCCGTCTATTCTCCGTGGTCTAATAAACTAATTGTTTAAGATTGAAGAAAATGTAGTTTAATGAACATGGTTAAGAAACATCTCTGTCAATGGTGAACCTATTTGCATGTTGCAACAGCCAACAGGTCCAAGAGAAATGAACATTTGTTCAGTGCTAGTAACTTTGCCACCTTCTACGAAGCTTCTTCATCCCTCGCAATAGCTCCCAACTTTGACTTCAGCTTACTATTTGCCTTGTCCATTAAAGGACATATACCATACACCACCAATAATGATAAATTATGTTTGTGAATACAAAATTTATAATAATTTTTGTTTTTGCTAAAGAATTACTGATTTTCAGAATATTTTTTTACTAAAGAATAAGATGACGTATTTTTCTATATTATAGGTTTTTCTTTATCTGACGTGGAAGAGTATACCTGCAAAATGTACTCTAATAATAAAGTTAAGTGTTAGTTTAGGCAATAAATGCTATTTATATTCAAAAATTAATCTCTTATATGTACTTTTTATCTTTTTTTTATAGACAATATTATAGGTTAATAAGCTTTGTGAATCAGCCTTGACTTTAGCTCTGTAATTAAGTAAATAATAATTTAATTATTTACCTTAATCGATTTAATTACTCTTTAATCTGACCGAGAGGGTACTTATCTTGCTAAGACAGAAGGGTATTCAGATTACTTCTTTTATCTATAAGACCGAATATCTTATCCAATACAATTTTTTAGCAATTAATGTATTTAAAATATATTTTTATTTATATAGTTGATATTAAAAAATTGTGATAATTAATTTTTATAAAAAAAGTTCAAGGTAGTACAAATTATATTTTTCCTTAATTAAAGGGCCAGCTCCTAATCAAAATTGAGTTTGCCCATAATTCCTTTTTTCAGTTAATTGTGCCAATTTGCAAAAGGCCAAGCAAATAGCAATACATTAATGATTGAATGCCAATAAGAGAAAGAGCTATATTGCAATACAACAGCCACAATGATAAAACAATGAGTTTGCCCGTATATATATATATATATATATAAGAAAAAACAGACTATTCCTCTTAGTTTGTTTTTTTAAGATGAAATCTTCATTATAAGCCCACTTGCTTGGACCAGCACAGGAGTAACTCAGAAAGCCCTGTCTAGGTATTGACCAAAAACAAAAAATGCTCGTCTAAGTCTAGTGAAGTTCTTTGACCAAAAACAAAAAAGAGTAGTGAAGTTCGTACAAATGGTTTGTCACATGAGGTATAAGTTTAGCACTCAATTCAGCCACAAATTTAGTTAAAAATATGTGGCCCTTTTCTCAGCTAAAAAAGGGGCTAAGGGTCTCACCATGTTATTTAGCGCTATAAATTCCAAAAAGAAACCCACAATAAATACGACCTGACAAAACAAAAGCAATTATGATTGGCGTTTTTGAATCGAAGCAAAGGAAAATTATGAGATTTTTTAGTTTGATTTTTTTTTCTAATTTTAAAATATCACCCTATTTTTATTTCTCTTTATTTTTCAATGTTGTTGTAGGAATTAGAGAAAATAATAAATGTCTTTTTCATTGTGTCCTAGGCCTGTTTGTTTGTGTATTGATTACAACTCCGTTTTAACACAATTGATAATTTCTACCTTCTCTCAAAATTATATCGTAACCCATGTAAATTCTGTTTCAATTATCATACAAATTTTTTAAAATGAAAAATCAACATAAGAATAAATAGGAGATTATTTACTATTTTTGGAGAGAAATGAGAGAAAACTTGCTTTCACAGTTCGAGTTAAAATGAATGAAAGTGAGTTAAATGATTTAAAGGGCTGATTTCCGTACTCTTCACATTCATAAAATATTTTTAGAAACATTTTTTTTTATATTTTTTAAAGGGATAAGACTTACATAAATTTGTTCACTCTTCGGAAATGTGACATAATCAGGTGTACAGAAAAATAGTATAAGTTAATTATAATTGTATTGATGCATTTACATATCTTTTGTTTTTCTAGTTTAGTTATTCTCAATTAACAAAAATGAAATAGAAATATACAATTGAAAAGTGTAAAAGAAAATAATATTATAAAAGAATATTAAGCTTAATTAATTTTTATTTCTATATTTTAACATATGAATGATTTTAATTTTTAAAATATGAAAATATATATAGAGAGGAGAAGGGGACGAGTGGAGTCACATGTGCCTGAACAAAAGGGTCTGAATGGAATGAGCACGACAACCTTGTTCCTTTGCCTGAACGAGTAACAGTTGTTATGTTTGTCATTGCTGTCATTCTTTAATTGGCTGTGCCCCGTTGGTAAGATTTCATAATTTGGGTGCCACATGGAATAACACCACTTCAATTGTAACCATTCTCACATGACTCTAAACTCTCACTTTCCTCGCTGGCATCATGTAATTAAAATACGCGGTTTTTGCTAATCAATACATAAATTAGAATTAATTGAAAGTTATGAAGAGAATGTATTTTTATATTTTTTAATTCTTTTTAGAGACACTTATTAGTAGCTTCTTAAAAGATTTTAATAATATATTTTACATTATAAGGAATTATCTAAAAGTGTTGAAAAAACATTTTTCTTGTTGTACACCTAATAGTAGTATATTCAATATTACTTACTATATATGCCTGACAGGTCCACATAGAAAGAAGAAAAGAGCTGCAAAAGCAAGTCTGAGACATTGGAGATGGAAAAATGGGTGGGTTTGGTGATGTTAGTGCTGTCTTTGCAACTGACATTGCCAATGGGAGGTGTTGGTGTTCAAGCTGCGGAGGTCACTTACGATGGAAGGTCTCTTATCATTGATGACCAGAGGAAAATCCTCTTCTCTGGTTCCATTCACTATCCTCGCAGCACCCCTCAGGTAATTCATTCAAATCACAATAATGTCTGTTCCACTTTAGAAGAGATGAACGTGGCATTCATTTCATTCAATCCCAGTATTCTATGCAAGTCATTATGTTTATGTAAGGGTGTGATTTTTCATGGAACCAAAAGCTTAGCCAGTTTACTCAAAATTTCTTTAAACTTGAAGTATATATATAGATAATACACAAACTCACTTTATCTTTCCTGAAATTAAAGGTTTTACTGAAAGAATAATGATCAGAAGAAATTGAATTCTAAACCGCTTGATTATAAACTCGTTATTACAATGTCATGAGGAGAAGTGGGTTTATATTGCTTTTCGAACTAGGCATTTCCTCGGTGGGTGGTGAGATGTACATTTCAAAATTTTCCTGGTTTTATGCATATCTGTGTCCAACGGTGCAGGCGTTGAAGCGATGGCTACATCTTTGTTCATGAATTAAGGCTTAATTTATTATAAGACGGCCTTAAATGACAGGCTTTATGAATTATGGAGTATGCTAATATTGCTTGGAACTTGATTGTGTTGATGTCAATTCCGCATTTTCTGATATTTATGTCTGAAGTTGCAATACGCTCTGAACAAATTATGAGAACGAGAATTGTTCATACTTGTTTTTTCATTCTTTTAAATGTTCAAAGAGAACGAGAGAGTGATCAATAATTAATCGTTTTCTTTTAAATGTTTACAATACTTTAATATTAAAAAATGTTAGTATAAACCAGTAAGAGTAGAATCTGAAAGATCACATGATTGGATGATAAGGGTAGATTCTTGTAGATTCACTTGATAATTTATCAATATTTTTGAAAACTCAAAACAAAAAAATCGCTGTATTTTATTTTCCTTTTCATCTATCTTCTATTATTACAATCCACTGTCAGAACTTTGACCTTTATTCTTACTTTCTTCAATAATTGAACTCTCATCCGATATTGATGTACTGGATTTATTTGAGGAAAAGGATAAGGGGGGGCATAGAAAATTTTCATGACCCTCATAAACGTAAAGGTCCGTAGAAATAGTATTTGAGGAAATACTAATTGAACTTTCATTTAGTTGTGGCGCCAAAGACAATAGAAAACCAGGTTGTGTTTTAATTATATGAATGACAAAGGATAGAAAAAGGTGAGAAATTTAATTTTGATAAAAGCATATTTTGCAGATGTGGGCACCGTTGATAGCAAAAGCCAAAGAAGGAGGGGTGGATGTGATTCAGACCTATGTCTTTTGGAATTTACATGAGCCACGACCCGGACAGGTTTTTTTCTCTTTCTATACACACTTCATTCAAAGAAGGTAAAATGTGAATGAGATGAATTTGCACACACAGAAGGTGTAGGGTAAGTATATACGCAAAGTATTTACGGAGTAAATACATACGACAGTATGATTTCAGCGGGAGATACGACATAGTGAGATTCATAAAGGAAATCGAAGCTCAAGGGCTGTATGTATGCCTCAGGATTGGACCGTATATCGAAAGTGAATGGACATACGGGTATACTTTTCCTTCTACTTATTTATACAAACTTTAATATACTTTGGATTAATTATGCTGTGCTTGCAGGGGATTCCCTTTTTGGTTGCATGATATCCCTGACATTGTCTTCCGCACTGACAATGAACCATTCAAGGTCCATCCCAATTTTGCATAATCTTTTTATATTAGCATTTATAAATATTTTATAATATATTTTGTATAATCAACATTTCACACATTCACAGTCAAAAGGAATAAGTTACCTTTTTTTTTCTTTGTTTATGTATTTTAATGTTCAGTACTACATGCAAAATTTTACAACGAAAATAGTGAGCATGATGCAATCAGAGGGCTTATACGCTTCTCAAGGAGGCCCAATAATATTGTCTCAGGTATGATTCGGCAAAATTTAGTGATATCCAACCAATAATTCATTAGTGTACTAAAAACTGTTTATTCTTTTTTCTTTTGGCATGGAACATTGGAAAAATAAAGATTGAAAATGAATATCAAAACATCCAAAAAGCATTTGGAGAAGCAGCATCCCGGTATGTTGAGTGGGCTGCAGAAATGGCAGTGGGCCTCCGGACTGGCGTGCCGTGGGTTATGTGTAAGCAAACCGACGCTCCTGATCCAGTGGTCAGTCCAATTGAGCCCATCATTTTTATTGTCACAAATTTATCACTCTCTTATTCAACTACAACTTTAAAGCTTCTTGGCCCAAAGAAAGAAGAAAAGAAATTGGAAGGTTTGAATAAAAACTAAATTTTCGTTAATTTTAATAGCAGAGTTAGTGGTTTAAAAAAAATATAAATATCCTTCAATATCTTAATATAATTTTAAAAAAGTATTTAATGTTCCTTAAGTTTAAGAGTACTGTAGCAAGTATTTTGAAAATATTAGTCACAGTTTATTAAAAAAAAAATAGTGAAATATATTTGTTACTTTTTAGAACCTATTTTTACATTTTAAAGAAAATTATTTAAAATTTAAATTTTTTACATTCCAAAAAGCCATATTAAATTAACAACTTTGGAGACATTTTAATTAAATTTAAACTTCTTATTTAGTAAAAATAACGAGCCTTAGATTTGCCAGCCTAATTTTTTCATTAAATATTTAAATACCAATGGCTGATCATTTTTTCAGTAGTTTTTTGAAAGCTTCAATTTGTTTGGGTCTTTTTCTTTTTAATTTTGCTTTCTTATGAAGATCAATACATGCAATGGAATGAGATGCGGAGAAACTTTCACGGGACCAAACTCCCCCAATAAGCCTGCATTGTGGACAGAGAATTGGACATCATTGTATGTTTCTTCGATTCTACACATTCACTAATCTGAGTTAAATGTTGCTTGTTTCAAAGAAAATATTATCACATTCATAATTGATTTGCATTTATTTTATTCTTCATTTCAATTAATCGTTTGTTTTTCTTCACCTTGTTTTATTTTTCACTTGTGAAGCTATCAAGTTTATGGTGGTGAGCCATACATCAGATCTGCCGAAGATATTGCATTCCATGTCACTCTTTTTATTGCAAGAAAAAATGGAACCTATGTCAACTACTATATGGTATCAATATTATTATATTCATCTTGTGTCTTCCTTACCACGTTGTGTTATCTAAAAGGGGTAAAAAAAGGGGAAAACCTTTTCTCACTCAGTTTATTAATCTATTATATCTTCTAAGTTACATTGTTTTTGCAATCTGACATAGTACCATGGTGGAACTAACTTTGGGAGAAAGAGCTCTGCTTATGTTATAACATCCTATTATGATCAAGCTCCACTTGATGAATATGGTGAGTGTAGAACACACAACATTTATAATTAATTTCCTACCTCTACATCCACTTGATTTTTTTTTTCCTTTTCATTAGGTTTGTTAAGGCAACCCAAGTGGGGTCATCTTAAGGAGTTGCATGCTGCAATCAAGTCTTGTTCTACCACTATATTGCAAGGAATGCAAAGGAGTTTCTCTTTGGGTCAGTTGCAGGACGTGAGTACTGTCTTTCCCTCTCTAGATTATCTCAGGTTTATTTTAACTAATTGCATTCCAAATATTAAGTGGGTTTTGGTCTCAATTCAATCAGGGGTATATTTTTGAAGAAGAAGGAGGAGAATGTGTTGCTTTCCTTGTAAACAATGATAATGTAAATATGTTTACTGTCCAATTTCAAAACAGATCATACGAATTACCACCAAAGTCAATAAGTATCTTACCTGATTGTCAAACTGTGACTTTCAATACTGCAACTGTAAGTCATAACTTCATCATAATTAATTGAAGGGTGGATGGTTATTGATTAATGTCTGTTTAATTTTACTCTTATATATGTTGATGCATAGGTAAATACAAAGAGCAACAGAAGAACCATAAATCTAGTACAAACTTTTAGCTCAGCGGATAAATGGAAGCAATTTCAAGATGTGATCCCTATCTTTGACCAGACTTCGTTAATATCAAACTCATTACTTGAGCATATGAACATAACCAAAGACAAATCGGATTACCTTTGGTATACTCTTAGGTTAGTTATGCATCCACTTATCTGCATCTCACTCACACATTAAAGGATTCAAATAAATCTATGACTCACTCCTTATTATCTTTTCTTTTCAATCATATCAATGATGGACATAAGTCATAAACTTGGAACTAACTAATATTGTGAACAGGTTTGAACACAATATACGTTGCAGTGAACCAATGCTTCAGGTTCAGTCTGCTGCTCATGTTGCCCATGCTTTTGCGGATGGCATGTACCTAGGTAAATATTGAATCATGTATACACCCTTCGTTTCATATCATGTCTCTTTGGATGTTTTAATTTATCTCAAAATAATCGTTACTCCAAAAAATTAAGAAAGTATATATATTCATTTATTAGCATCTTATTAAAATGCTTGAACAGGTTCATAATTACATTCTAATTCTTTTAATAAGGATATTTTGGATAGTTGTAAAAAACACTTAACCTGATATGTTGATTGACTCTGGTAGGATGGGCACATGGAAGTCACGATGTGAAGTCATTCACCTTACAGGTCCCCATTACGGTAAATGAAGGGACAAATACAAACGATATATCTATATTAAGCGTTATGGTTGGACTCCCGGTAATTTTTCTACAGAATTTATTATATCTACAAAAACAAGTTGATTTTTTCCCTAGCAATTCTATGACGTTGTGTTAATCAAAAGGATTCAGGAGCATTTCTTGAAAGAAGATTTGCTGGATTAACCTCAGTGGAAATCCAGTGCAGTGAAAATTCCTATGATTTGACCAATTCTACGTGGGGATATCAGGTTTTTCTCTTCATTTTCTGTATTGCTTTATCGTTCTTATATCCAATATAACATTGATGTCTCTACCTTTTCCTCCTTAATACTAAATCATCTTTCTCTCAAGAAGATCAAAAGATGTAAATCTGATAAGTTATATACATCAATTAATTGTTGTAACTTTTGGTATAGTTTATTTTCGAAATTTTATGAAAAATATAAAAATAAACGTTTATTTATTTTTTTAAAATAAGTTAAATCAAATAAAGTATGTGACATTTTTTTCCCTTCATGATTGGTCTGATGTACGTCACAGGTAGGATTACTCGGAGAGCAATTACAAATATACGAAGAAGAAAGTAGCAGTTCTATTCAATGGTTCCAATTAGGGAACACTACTGATCAAAAACTCATTTGGTACAAGGTAATCGGTGCAATAAGCTGTTGTGTGTATGATCCAATGCGTGAATTTTTCCTTTCCCTGAACTACAATAACGCTAACAGCTAAGAGGGACAAAATGAGGTTTAAGTATTAATGAATGAAATAAGTGTAGCATTTGAAGTAATTAAATTAAGCGGAAATTGCAGGGAGAATTAAAGTCTTAATTAATTAATATATACTCATCGTAATACTGTAGAGAACATTTGATTCACCCGAAGGTGATGACCCTGTTGCGTTGAACCTTGAATCCATGGGAAAAGGTGAAGCTTGGGTCAATGGACAAAGCATTGGTCGCTATTGGATCTCATTCCATGATTCCAAAGACCAGCCCTCGCAAACGCTGTAAGTTAATCCATCACACCCCATTTTTAATTTTTCTTTCTTGGCTAAGATTTTAGTACTCCAAATTTGTACTAATTTTTGTTAATACGTTACATAAGATGATCAAATATTATTTAGACAATTATTTTTCTCTTCAATTAACTTCTAAAACTCAAAGTCAAAAAGGTTTTTTTGGGGAGAACAAGTCACTAGAATTGTAACTTGAATATAATTATATAGGACAGGATTTTCTTATATCAATCTAAGTTTAAAATTTTTTACGTTTAGATGGGATAACTCATTATACGTAAGTTATAAAAAGTTCAAATCAAATGTAAAATTTAAATTTATACTAACATGAGAAAATCTTTACTCTAATTATATATGTAGGGAAAATTAAAGCATGTAATTCAGATTTTGGTGCATTTGATGTATTTGTTTTGTAATGTGGGCACAGGTATCACGTGCCTCGGTCGTTCCTGAAAGACACTGGAAATGTTTTGGTATTGTTTGAGGAGGGTTATGGGAATCCTCTTGACATCTCCCTCAACACTGTTTCAACCACAAATGTAGAAGAGAGTTTATCCAAGTAATCATTCCCCACAGCTACTTAATATTACAAGGATAAGAGAAACACAGAGACTCAAACCACGTATATAGAATCTTTTTCATTGAATCATAGTCAATAAATTGATATGAAAAGGCAATATTCTTCAAAGCTTGGTTGGGATTGATAAACACTCTTTGGAATTTATGATGACATTAAAGGAATAAAAGAATAATTATAAATTGTTTAAACTCGATATTAATAACTTACAATAATCAATTTTATCTGTTGATTATTATTTTAAATCTAAATTCTAATTCTTTTGCATTTTTAATGACTAAATAGGCTAAGCTTATATTAATTTGACGAAAATTCTAATTTCTCCTTTTTATAATGACATCACGAGTTCCAATAAAATGAAATGTGAAACGTGGAGAGCAATGCAAGATCCACGTGTACGAGAAGCATGTGTCCCGCTTGCCACTTCACACGTTAGCATGTTACATTGTAATAGCAGCAGAATAATTCTAACTTGTCCCTCAGTTCTGATCACTACTGTTATACTCTCTCTATCTGAAAATATGGAAATAATTGCCATAAAATACGAACTCCTCCTTTCAACCCATCATCTTCATTGTACCCTCTTTGGTTCAGTTCAGCTACCATACCAGGTACGTTATTTGTCTCTGTATTTTCGCATCAGAGCTCCAAATTCCCTTTGAGTTTATGGATAATACACTATTGCATTAACTTATAATTAAGCAAATAAATCTTCAACCCATTTCGTAGATACGCACCTTGCTTAAATTTCTGGATCGCTTGTTTAAAAATCATCTAAACAAAATCATTTTTTTTAATAAATTTTCTCGCTACAAAATTGATAAAAACGAACAATATTTTTTAAAAATAAACTTAAGTAAGCATGAATTCATGAATTGGTTTTCTTCAATGATGTTCGCAAACATTTGTTATCTTGAATCTGTGTCTAGGAAAAGGAACTAACCTCAACAACCTTAGTGAAAACGGAAAGATTAAGGAAAAGCAATTAGCAATGTCGGGTGTGTCATTAGCCGTGGCTGGTGGAGTGGAACCTCATCAAAAGCAACGAGTAAATGAACAAGAACATGGTAGCATGACCTTAATGGGTTCGTTGCGTGTTATAGAGGTGCAGTTAGTGGCCTTTGTATTGGTATTCTCAGCGAGTGGTCTAGTCCCTCTTCTTGATTTAGCTTACTCTGCTCTTGTCTCTCTCTACCTAATGGCACTTGCACGTTTTGCCTTTCCATCAAACGGGTGTGGGCCCCAGCAGATCTTTCTTGGGACCAGGCTTTTTCAAGGCTATGTTATTGTTGGAACCACCGTGGGCTTGTTCTTGCCATTGGCCTATGTGCTTGGTGGGTTTGGGAGAGGGGACAAGCATGCAGTGAGATGTGCAAGCCCACACTTGTTCTTGCTCTCTTTCCAAATATTGACTGAGAATGTTATAAGTAGTTTCTCACTGTTTTCTCCTCCCGTTAGGGCGTTGGTGCCCTTGATGTACACTGTCCGGAGGATCTTTGTGGATATTGATTGGATACATAATGTGTGGCTCAAGAAGACTTTGCCCCAAAATGCTTACCTTAAGGTTAATTTTGTTTCTTAACTCCTTAGGCATATAATTCTCAGTAAGACTTTGCCCCAAAATACTTGAAATGTTGTGCATTTCTTAGTAAGCTTCATTTAAATAGGTTTTTAACTTAATTATTTTAATAAATTTTAAGATTAAATTTGTGAATAATTTCTTATATGATAAGTTGTTATTAAAATAAATGTTTAATTAAATTATTTACTTAAGCAGGATAAGGCATGGTTTTGGTTTGGGAGGGTATTGGCGGTGGCTAATCTGATTTATTTCTCCATCAATCTATTTGGGTTCTTGATACCAAGGTTTCTGCCTAGAGCTTTTAAGAGGTATTTCCAAGAGAGGGGAGAAATTTATGCTAAGGTGGCCGAGGACAAGGGATATGCGGTCAAAAACAGAACCCAACCATTGGAGAAGAAATTAGATTAAAGATCTTGACAACACATTTAAATAGGTTAGCACTTTTTTTAACCTTAAAAAGTTGCAGAAAAGTAATGTGAATGTTATAGCAGCTTGGACTAATATAGCTGTGTGTTACATTAGTGAAAATTTATGACATAAACTCCATTAATCATACAGGTGAGTTTTCAAGTCTCTCACGACAGAAGGAAATCATCTGAAGAAGTCAACGTTGTAACGAAGTTGTTTTGACTTTTGATCATTTACCCGCAGCTACGTAGAGAACTCTTTCGGAAATCTATTGTTATTAAAAGATGTTACGTTTCTCTCGAGTTTTTATATGTTTAACAGTAACCCAGTAGGTGCCACGATATGACGAACAAGTCACGTTGAACATTAATTTTACAGTTTCTTCAACATTTTTTTCGCCTGATTTCCAGCGAGATTTTCTGTTAATCACAGTATAATTAAATATTCCTTCATTAACATATTAGGCTATACTAAGCAAGTGTTTTAGAAGTTGACAGATGCTAGCCAACTGTTTCCTCTGTTATGTTTCCAAGTTGACAAAGGCTATACTATGCCAGCGTTTTAGTACTAGCACTTTTTTTTCTCTTAATTTAAATTTAGGCTGCAAACGTTCGTTTACTTTCCTTACATAGTTTAAGCATTGTAAAGGCCCTACATTATCTGTGTGCCTTAGATATTGAAACAGTCTGTGGCTGCAGGCTAATTAGATAACTAGAGACAAGTCCAACACAAACAGCGAACAAGAAAAATTGATCCCCCACCCTTTATATTGAAAAGATTATATATATTTGGCGCAAAGGAGGGCTCTATCTTATTTCCACGCTTAACAAAATTGATCATATACACAAAAAGGGGCAAATGGGCCATTCTATCCAACATCCCCAGATATCTGCTGAAGGCCAGGACGTGGCATTCCAGAGGACCAAAAGAAAAGATGACAAATTCTAGAGTTACAGCAACGGTACAATTTTACTGAAAAAAGGGTACTATTTTATAGGTTATCTTTCATCCATCAGTGCGTCAATAAGTGCAGCTTCTTCCTGCGGGACAGCACAAACAATAAAAAAATGAATTGGGTCAAAATTAAAAAGGAATGTCAGCTAGGAAGAATGTAACCACGTACCACTAAGGCATTAAATTCGGTTTCCTCATCTATGGCGTCAACAACAGCAGGATCATCAAGCAGGTCCTGTTCACAAGCAACCAAAGTTGATAGTGAGAATGAGATTTATAAGAATGGATGTTACAACCAGAAAATATTAAGGCAGGCAAAATCTACAGCCTGTTTACCTTGATTTTTTTTTCTGTTTTCGTTTCTTCTTTTACTTTTAATAATAAAGATGTCATTTTTTTTATTATTTTCTATGCTTAACGATTTGTATTAAAAATAATGAAAACGATAAACCATGCAATATGTAGAATATAAGATTGCAACTTTTGAACATCTTATGCGGTGAATTAGTCATTGCCTACTTACATCATCAGCAATGAACAACTTCCCGTTCTCACCCTGCACACAGAAAGGACACAATAAATTCCTTCATGTATTTTATGCCAATTATATAAACTCAGTAAAAGAACTTTACTGAGAAGTTTCCAGTCAACTATAACTGCATTTCGGAGAGAGAAGTGGCTCAAGATAATATGGAATTCGGCCATTGTTCTCAAATGGCAATAGTTAGTTCTAAGAAGCTTGTAGAAATGGAAGCTCACCTTCACAGCAACAAAAAGAAGTGGATCAGATGGTGTATAAATCATGTAGCGGGCACCTTCCTGCAACAAAAGGGCTACACATTAGAACACGATAAATCTTTAACGTCCATAGTTCTACGGAGATTCACAACAGGCCAGAGGTTCCTTTTAGCAAGAATCTAAGTTCTGCATATTGGATAAGGACAACTGAACAAAAAATGTCTAACAAATAAAGCATGCTTCTTCATGGTGTAAACACAATATAGATGTGAGAAAGTAAATTCAATATTTGTGGAGGAAACCCTAGGAGGAGATTTTTCTCGTTGTTCTGTTCAATTTCAGTCAAGAAGCAATATAATCATTGCTTTTTTTTCTCCATTTCCATCGTGGGAAACAAAAAAAAAATAACAACAAATATAATTACCAGATTGAAAGATGTAATTTCTACACCTTCAGTAGGCAAGCCATCCACTCCTTTGCCATCATCTGCAAAATGGTAAAAACATCCTGCATTATTTCTAGGGCATAAAATTCAAATAGTTGCATAGTATATTACCACTTTAGCAATGATTCCCAAATACAATGAGTTTATCATTATCCCCGATACTATTGTGTAGAGACAAAATTGGGCAATGAATTGATAGTTGCTGCCCACAGATTAACCTTTTCTGCTATATACATGCACTATGGGCCTATCACATTTGCATCCATATGCATACAATATAAAGTAAATAACCCAGAAGAGATGGTGTATAAGCGACAACTAATCAAATCTCACAAGAATATAAAGACAAAAGAGATAAACATATCATCACCAAAAGAGTCATCAGGAAAAGAAATGTAATTAGAAATCACAGGAGAGGTGACGAACGAAATAGAACAGAGAGAAAGCTATATTTACCACAGAAAGTTGGCTTTGAAAAGGGGAAAAGATTAAGCAGCAGATTCAGCAAAATTAAACTCAAAACAGGTAGTATCCAAAAACTTGACAAGCTTTTAGCAAATATAAGTAAACAATAATGTCCAAACATGATGTAAATAACTACTCAAACTATGGAATCTGAAATGCATTAACAGCCACATTTTGAACTAGAAATGATCCTGTAATACACTGAATATAAACCTCATTTTGTTTATATTCCAATGACAGAAACATGAAACATTAGTACTTCAGTGAAAGGGCAAGCAAAGAAATCCTTGCCTGTGTGAAAGTCAAATATGTCTTCTTCTGTGTAGCAAAAACCACCGCGTGCTGTATAACAGTACCTGATATGGAGATACAGAAATAGTTTGCCATGATCAAACAACAAAGTTAATTTCATATCTTTCTAGATAACTCGGAATCACCAACATACCCACTATAAACAAGATGCATGTGTATCTTGGCAAGTGCATAAGCTGCAGCAGGCAGCATAGATTCAACTTCCTCATCACTGATCTAAAACACAGAAGGAAAATATAAAATTGAGCGGGAAGACTCACCAAAGGATAAAAGTACAGAAGAGGAAATATGCAGGGTCCATTTGGTTAGAGAAAACATTTCGTATTACATTTTTCTATTTTTACTAATAAAAACAAAAATGTCACCTTGTTTTCACTTTATTTCTTCTTTTCAAATTATGCAGTGTCTTGTGATATACTATCTCTAGTACTTTTTATAAGAAATAAATAATATTATTAAATATATAAATTACTAACTATATTATTTAATATTATAGATATTCTTAAAATAAAATTTATATTTATAAAAAATATAATTGTCTTAATTACTTTCTTTAGTCATGGTAATTTAGTCTTTTATTTTTGTTTCTTATAAAAAGTACTTGTAGCATAATATATAAGTGAGAGTAAAAGACGTTATCTTCATCAAAAGAAAGCATGGATCCTAATTTCAAAAGCATTATTAAATGCATTGCGAAACATTACCCCTAAGTCAAAATTTGAGGTATCATCGCCTAATGAACAGTAACATCCTATAAATATACAGACGAATCAAAACTTAGAATGCGAAACAGAAACTTACAGCAGACCACCCATCAACTTTTGTGCTCTTCAATATTTGAATAGGCCTGCAGTATAAATAAAAATTACACTCCACAGTCCACACCACATTAAAGAAATAATAAAACGAAAGGACAATAAAATCATTTTTATACTTACGTGTCAACAGGGCAGAGCAAGACACATTCATCCCTATCGGAACTTTTGAACATTCTCCTTATCACACACTCCAACGGAAGGTTATTGGCAGGATCAACCTGTTAACAACGTATTCAGATTTTGTAGGATTAAGAAACCGCAATTGCTGCATAATCGTGAAATGTGAATACGACATATAATAATTAAAAGAAAAACAGAACTCACAACAGTGACAAGTCGATCCGTGGAAGCGTGGAGAACCTTCCCGTTATCGTCTAAAACGAATCCAGCGGGAGGTTCGGGCAACGGCATAGAAGGGTAAGGGATTGAAGAATTGGAAGAGTCAACGTCATTACGGAGGGTAAAATCGTTCAAAATTTCGAAGTCGTTGGGATTCATAGATAGGGAATCATCATCTACAACGGCACTCTTCTTCTTCTTCTTCTTCTTTTTGGGCTTGACAGGGCCCGTTTGGGAATTGGTGGCACGGCAGGACAGAGTAGTAAAAGAGGAATTGGAATTAGGGATTGGAAAGGAAACTGAGAATGATGAGGGAAAATTGAATTTGAGGATTGTGCTGAGAGACTTCAAGTTGAAGGTTGAGGAATGACACCACGATACCGCCATTTCTCTCTTCTCTCTTTCCCTCACTCTGCACTCCGCTCACACTGTCACTTTTTTTTTTATTACTATTATTTCATTTATCGCTTTCGATTTATTATTTCAAATCAACGGCTGTTATATTCTCCTGCTCTAAATCCCACGCCATTCGTCACGTAATTATTTTTGTTAGATATTTAATTTTAAAATTTTATTAATTTCAATTTTAATAAATAGTTAATAATAATAAAATTTTATTAAAAAATATTTATTATAATTTTATAATTTTAATATAATAACTATATATTTTTTATTAAAAAATTTATATGTAAATACTTAAACGCAGCTATAAAAATTAATATTAATAAAATTTTTAATTTTATTATTAAAAAATGTTATTATTTTTTTTTATTTTCAAAACTATAAACTTGACAACTAACGGTTTTAGTTTGTTTGGATGAGTAACTTAATCAATAAATGTTTAATATAAATAGAATTTAACATTAATTTGATCATAGTGTTTTTTTTTTTAATAAATTATACAAAAAATAGTTATAATTTATTAAAATCAAGCTAAAACGTTATAAAAATAATGAATCATTTTTTTATTTTTTTCAAACTCCTTCTTTACTATAGTAGAAATAAATTAATTAAAATTTTGAACAAATGTTATATATAATAGAAGAAAAACTTACCGAATTCTTGGGTCTTATTTCGCTCTCTCAATGTGGGCTGGGTTTGTATGGGCTATCTTTTTTGTGCTGGTGAAGTTCATAAGGTTTATTGAACCCACTCAAACTGGAGTGTGTTTTCTTTGGGTCAAAACTAAAGACTCAGTGTTTGGGAGAATGCTTTGTCCAATTCCCCACTCAACCTTTTTTTAAAAAATAAGCTTAGCGTTTGGGCCTTTGGGTCTCATTTCTTCAATTGCCCGAGAAAAGAAAATGTGAAAATGGCTTCTTTGATCGGCATCTACCAATAATTAGGTGAGCATTTTTTACCAAAACAAGAGGTGAGCATTTAAGCTAGTTGTAAATAAAAAATAAATTTTAGTTGAAAATAAACTGATAATTTTTAATAATAAACTACAAAAATATTTATCTATAACAATTTGTTTCTTTTATAAAAAATTATAAATTACTGATTTTATAGCAATCTCCAAAAATATATGAATAGTGGTTCTAGATCTTTCTAAAAAATTTAAGTATTCCCAAACACATTCTAATAATAATAATAATGGGTGAAATATGAAATCAATTGCACTCTTGATAAATTTTATCATTATTATTACAAAAAAAATTGTTAAAGAATATTTTCTTTAAAAAACACGTTTAAGTTACGGAATATTTTTGCCCACTTTTAAAAATTAACTATCGTTTATTTTAAAAAAAAATAAACTTTTAAACACTCTGGTTTTGAACCATTACAATTAACTTTAAAACTTTAAAAAATGAACCGAAGACTTTGAATTAAATAAATAAAATTTTCATTTCTTCTTCTAAAACTAATAATAAGATGATAAAATAAATAACCTACATAATGAAGATTCCATTCTAAAATAAATAATATATAAGTCACTTAAACTACTACTCTTCGTTTCTCATCTTAAATATATTTAATGCATAAACAATACACCTAGCTACATCAATAAAAACTAAAACGGGCCACCAACTATAATTATTTTCTTAACATTGTGGAAAGCAAGAATTATATTGTCGAGGTTTGCAAATTGTTTATAGTAGGTACCAACCCCGAAAGAAAAGAAAAAGAAATAAAGAAAATGCCAACACAATATGAATAAAACGAGGATCAAATTGGTGGAGGACTGAACTACACGAAAGTTCTATATATATGTGGATTTTGTTGTTAAATTATTTCCAAGTGTTGGATATTATATAGAGAGATAATGCTCACTTTTTTGTGCCTCTCCATTCTTCAGGCTCATTGAAACCCAGCAACATGATGAGGTGGGTGGCTAGTTAGATCGATAAGCATTTGAATATAAAACCACAAGGCATGCAAAACTAAAAGGTGTCACCGTTTTGGTGGTGTGTTCTGATAAAGTCACCACTTCCTTACATGATACTTGTAGTTGAAAGATCTCCAACATGGAGTGTGGGGAAATGATCATTCCACATCCACGTGCCTTCAAGGAAATAATCCATATAGGTCCAATTGGATTTAATTTTTCACTAAATATTTATCAAAAAACAAAATATATTTAATTTATCTTATAAATTAAAATCAATTCATAAATATCAACTTTAAAAAAAACATCACTTAATAAACTAATGTGTATAAATTAATTTTTACCTCAAAAAACTTTTGATTTGTACTAATCATCCAAAGGCTTCTAGATTGGAATGTAGTTACACATTAACAATGATACGTTGATAAGATATAGACATCCGAAAAGGTAGTGGAAGAAAATAGCCAGTTGAGTGAGTTAACCAAATTGAACCAATAAGATTACTTAGTTGACGAATTCAACGAAGAATCAATATCCAGTGGCACTTTCTTTTGGAACACTTTTCTTACGTGCACGATTTTTACAACTTGTTGTTCCAACTATGCATCATATTATATATTAATTTTATCAGATTAACGCTTTACATGAGGGGAAAAACAACTACAAAGAATCACTTAAAAAGCGATACGCCAAAAAGAAACTAAGATAGCCATTGCATGGATGACTATATCCTAGTGCCACGCTCTTTACCACTTGAGCTTCTATATGTGCATGTTGTTCTTTACAGATATCATAGCTATAATTTGAAATCTCTACGAAGGCGATTGAGTCCAATACAATGTTTAATAACCAAATCTTTGATCATCTTTATATATTCTCTTAAATGGCCAGTTAATATACGGCACGATCTGTATTAATTACTTTTTTATATTCACCCTTTTGTATTTGTATTATTGAGCATACTTTAGTGTTTGGAGGACCAACATCTAGAGGTGAAAAATATTTGAAAACCCTGCATGTGATCTTTTGAGTTGTGGCTCTAGCTATTTAGTGCCCATGACTAGTGTCTAGAACTCAACTTCAGTGTCCAGAAGATTGATAAGTTAACACGAGTACGTGTCGAATGGGAATTCCCAGCTTTATATCTTGTTCATCATATTATATGGTCCAGAATCATCTAATCAATTTCCCAGTGTATTTGATTAATTGAATTTATTTTAAAAAATTATAATGATCATTTTTTTTTTCAAAAATGAACTATTATTTTGTAAACTAACCAAAGTGCAGTAGACAGAGTGGACGTTTAGCCTAATACTTAAGAATTTGATGACCCACCACTATCCAATTTGGGGGTCAAAGACTTGAAAACCCACTTTCAGCAGCTCCATATATATTCCTTTCACTCATTTCAGGTACAATAATATCATCAATGATGAACATTTTGAACACGCACGGTCACATTCTATAAAAAAAATCAAGTGCAAAATCTGGGTCTGATTCTCCAAAAGAGCTTCAACTAAAATTTTCTTGGCACAATAGAGGAATTTTGTTGAGGACCATATAGAGAGCAGTTATTTTACACACGTCTTTTGGGTTCGATGTTAACAGAGTTCCCCCCACCTTATATATTGTGCATTGTTTTCTTTATAACTTAGATTCCTGTCATTATTACGTCATGGAATATATCCTTAGGTACTGCTAACCTAACCTTATTCTTGCTTAAGGCCTTCAATAAGTTGCACTTGTTTATAAAGTGTAGTTTTTCTTTTTCTTTTTAAAGTAAATCTAGAATGATTAGTCGGATAATTTTTAAGGATATTCAAAATATGGTCAACAGACGAATAAGAGTGCATTCTTCTTCACTCCTTAGCTCTCTTTATCTGCTAATAATAATAAAGTTAAATTAATTTTTAGGTTTCAAATTATTTAAAATGAATACTTTTCTTTATTTTAACAATTATATTTGTATACTTATTTTTTTTAATTATCTTTAATTGAGTCTCTCCATTAGACTTTTATTAAATATAAAAACTTAATTAAAAATTTTGCATAATTCAAGGATCAAGCTACAATTTTAATTAATTATTCAATAAATCTTGAAATTATTTTAAAAAGTTTAGTTGAGTTCTTATACTTAATAGAATTCTAATAAAATGTGGTCATAAAACCAATTAAAAAATTTTAAAGTTTAAAAACTTACTTACAAACTTTTAAAATTTCATGTAATTCATACACTTAAAGAATAATTTACCCAAATAATAATAATAATAATAATATCATTCTATTAAATATTACGTTTTTGAAAAATATTGAAAAAGTAAAACACTTATTATTTTCATAATAATTTATTATTATTATTCTTAAAATTATTTTTATCAGGATTTATGCCTTAAGAAATTTAAACTTTATTTAGTTTTGTTAATTTATCATTTATTTCATCATAATAAATTATTTTTTATTCATGGTATTAGTAGGAACACTGACAACAAATCATGTGATAATGTTTTATTGAAAATTTAAGTTCATCAATTTTAGATGCTTCTATTTATTTGAGAGATGTGAAACTATAATTTATTTTGTTGTTTATTCTCTCAGATTACTGTAATATTATTTTAAAATATCTTCAAACTAAATTTTTAATATATTTAGTTTAGAAGATATTATATATATATATATATATGCATTTATAAAATATAAGAAAATTTGTATATATAGCATCTGAAAAGAAAATAGAGGAAATTTTGTATAATGAATCGAAATATGTCATGATAAGGCATTTTTGCCAATTTCACATAAAGATATATTATAAGTTTTAGAAATAAAGAGAAATATTTAACATAATAATTACGAAATATATGAGAGATTAGAAAACTTCACTAAAAAAATAAAAAAAATAAAAAAATACATCATGCATTCTGGTACGATAACGCAGAGGGAAGGTAATTCAGGTTTTTTTCTTTTATCTATATACATTTATAAATAAGTAATATTATTTTTTGTATACACATTTTGCAACACCTTTTAATCATTTTCTCTCTTTGTCTTTTTTTTTTTGGTAACATTATTTATTGTATTTCATATATTTTTTTTATATCTATCTTTTTCTTAATATTAAAAAATGTATAAACTTCTTGTAAAAATTGAATTTCTCTTTAGCTTTTGAGAGATTCAATTAAGTTTTGAAAGCTTTTAAATTCTGCTGAGACGCATGCAGACATTTTTTACATGCAATTTTTTACTACAAAAATTACGTATTATATGATCCTCATATCAATAGGGACTTCAAATCAAGGTACAATGTTCCCAAAAAGTGAATACAACAAAAATATCATAACCAATAACCTTTCTTCCTTCAAAAGCTGGAAAAAAAAGGAATAGGATGTGGTGTTTTGTTCTTGCAATTTAGCTTTTACATATAATGGGAGGAGATACAGATGACAGATCAAAGGTTGGAAGTAGGAGGAAGTGGAATAGATTCTTATGCTTATCTAATAACAATATAAGGACGGAGGAGAGCTTTGCAGGTTGGAGAGAATACAAATGTCTACTTTTTATTTATGTATTTTCAGAAAACTAAGATCACAACTGTTAGTAACTTCTCTGAGTTATTTATAAGCTTAATTTACTAGAAAATTGCAGAGCCTGCCATATATCTCTGTCAAAAGTTAGTTATCTTTAAGTGAGCTTTTTTACCACTAATTTAAATTTAGTTATGCATATAAAATATTTTAATTCAAATAAATAAAACTTAATTTAGTTACTCTTTTTATAAACCTTAACAAAGTTTTGTAAAAACCTACTAGTTAGTGCAAATTTTGTGTGTGTCTATTATTATTTTTAAGTACCATATTTATAATAAAAGTGTTTTATGTAAATATATATATATATATATATATATATATAAACAATAAATATATGAAAATGACATCAAATGCTTCCATAAATTTGTCCTCGCACATATGATTCCACTTGAGAGGATGTCCAAGTCATGCTTATTTACTCATTAATAAAAAATTTAGGAGTGCATGTAACATATCAATTTTTTTGGTTGTATCATGGGAATGAAACAAACTAAAAATAGTGAATTTTAAAAAATTAAAAACTAAAATTAAAATTTTCCAAAAATATAAGAATTTGAAACACATTTATTATAAAATATTATAGTATTGTTTAACGAATTTAATTTTAATATATTGTTAGTATAAAAATTGTAATACTGTTAAATTATTGAAAATATCTTATATATGACTTTTTAAAATAATCAATATTTTTAGTTACGACAATTTACAATTATTAATAGTATTAAAAACTAAAATAAATATTAATACTATTTTAACGTTTGTATTTTATTCCAATTATATAGGCTGTCAATTCACTCACTCACTCTCATTTTCATACTTGCATAGTTGCATTGATATACGATTCCCAAAACAAATGCTTACTCATCTGTATGCATTTGCGTAATGTTCTTGATTTCTGCAATTGATTATTGATAGAAGCCGAATTCTGCGAGTGTCTCCGATCTGTTCTTGATGAGATGCTTGAAACCAGAATATGTGCCATATGACCACATTTTTAGATTCCTGCAATACATTCACATGGCTATATATACAAATTATGAAGAAATTTATTTTTAAAAAAATTAAAGTAATATAATCAAGTTCTTTAAAATTTGTTAAAATATATTAAGAATATCACAAGATACTTTTTTGTTAAATTTTAACAATTTTTATTTTGTGAACTAACTTTTAGCATAACACTCTTTATAAAACTTAAACATATCCCATCCTTTAAAATAAGTTTCAAATTAAACTCAATTTTTTAATAAAAATATATAATCAACTTATTTATTTTAAGTATAATTATTCACTTTTTCCATTAATTATTCTTAAATAATAATATTATAAAAAAATCCTAAATTTCAAATATTAAATTAAAAAAAGATAATTTCAAATCTTAGCATTTCAGTCCCTTTCAACTTTGGAAGATTCATTTCATTAGCCATATTAGTTTCCTTAAAATCAAAACCTCCTATAAATACCCCATTCCTCTTCATAGCATCCCATAACATACCTGGACCAAGTAGTTATACCAACCTAGCTCTCTTTCTTTGAGTGTTGTGTTTTGTAGCCTGTGAGTGATTTCTGAGCCCTTCAGTGCTATAAACAAAGACAATAAATCATCATCAACAGTTTCTCACACATATATATTTGCCCTGCTGTTTCAATATTTCCCCTAAAGATGCCTGCAAACGAAGCCACAAATCATCATGCTTTTGACTTTGATGGGTCCATAGATGATGCCCCTTCCCACCCGCAGCGTGCCTCAAAGTGCTATGATGATGATGGCCGTCTCAAACGAACTGGTACACTAAATTCATTTCAGCCTTTTCACTTTCACTTTTACAATTACACATTACAATGTTACAGAATAATAATACACCTCTCTTTCATACGTAGTATATAGAGTACAATATATAAATCTTCTTAGTTATTTATTGTCTTAAAAGTAAAATATTTCAAATTTGTCATCTATTGTATTTATACTAACAAAATCATATACCAGTCAATTTAGATTATCCTTTCAAAAAATATTTATAAAAAAATATAAAATATTTTTGTATAAGTTAAAATTAACTTACTAGTAAACTCTTATAAAATTCACTATATTTACTTCTCTAAAAATTTACAAAAATTAATTTTAATTTATGAAAAAATTTGACTGACTTTATTTCTCTATCAGGAACAATTTGGACTGCAAGCTCTCACATAATAACAGCTGTGATAGGATCAGGGGTGCTGTCTTTGGCATGGGCCATAGCTCAGCTAGGTTGGATTGCAGGTCCTGCTGTTATGATCTTATTCTCTTTGGTTACTTTCTATACTTCATCATTGCTTGCTGAATGTTATCGTGCCGGCGACCCCAATTCTGGCAAGAGAAACTACACTTACATGCAAGCAGTTCGCTCCATTCTTGGTAACATTTAAATTAATGCTTTCATTTATTCTTAATTTTCACAATAAATAACCCATCATGCTACTTAGTACACTTGATCATGTTTGTGTTGTAAAACATAAGTAACTGTGTGTTAATTTGATCATACTAATTATGATAAGGTCATTATGAATCACTGAGATCTAAGAGATGCATTACTACTAAAGTGGTCAATGGCGATTCAACTCATGCACATGGTCTTGTCCACGTCCAACTAGTTATCTTAAATTTAGTATAATTTATACTTTTTAATATTCCTGCTAAAAGAAATGGAATTTCCCTACGAAACACGAGTTTTTATTCCCCAACTACGTATTCTTTTCAGTAATAAATCTTTCTAATACTCTGCCACGTGTATCAGTGGTCCTATTAAATTTTTTCCCACGAGCGTTTTCAATTGATGATTCTTTTTCCCTAAAGAGAATGGGTAACTGTTCCTAGTTTTATTTCAATACAAATATTCTTATTCAATCATAATAATTTTAAATGAATTTAACTTTTTAGCTAGTTTGATTTGGTCAGGCTCATTTAATGGCTATGAATATGATGCTCCTTAGAATTGGGAGGTTCATGTAGAATAATTTAACGTGTCAATAGTTACACAGTTCTACTACTTAAACATAAAAAGAAATTGACACCTAATATTGTATGTGTATATATATATATATATATACACACACACACGCAGACTAACACGCAATATAATGTATTTTGTAGGTGGAGTCAACGTTACGTTGTGCGGCATATTTCAGTACCTGAATCTATTGGGAATTGTAATAGGATACACAATTGCGGCATCTATTAGCATGATGTGAGTTCAGATTTACACTTTATAATTGAATAATATTACTCATCGCTGACACACATCATTTTACGACAATATTATTTTTATCATTTAATTACAATTCAGCTTATCTTACTTTCTACACACTTATATTTTGATCAAATTTGAAGTTACTTCAAAATTACATTAGTTAAAAAAAAAAAAAATGGGGCATGTTCCAATATTGACTGTTCGAAGAACATGTAATAGTAATTTCTAGCATGTGGCTTGATAGTGGATTGTGCCGTTACCTTCTTTAATTTCTTTGAACTGATTGATAGAAATAGTATAATGTAGTTTGATGATTATTGATGAGTTTGTTTCAATTTCATTGATTTTGGTTGTCAGGGCAATCAAAAGGTCTAATTGTTTCCATAAATCTGGAGGCAAAAACCCATGTCACATGTCAAGCAACCAATACATGATCATTTTTGGCATAACCGAATTTTTCCTTTCTCAAATTCCCGATTTTGATCAAATATGGTGGCTTTCAATAGTTGCTGCAATAATGTCTTTCACCTATTCCATAATTGGTCTCGCTCTTGGAATTGCCAAAGTTGCAGGTTATATTCAATATGTTCTCTACTTTTAACTTCCTTTAATATAAGATTTCTTCGTGCGTGTTTGATTTGAATTATTTTAAAACAGTAGTTGTTTATCTTTACTAATTTTATGATATATTTTAAAAAAACATTATCTCTCTAATTTATCTATTACTAAACATGGACTTCTAGTAACAAATAGGCTGAAATTTTGTTGGTTCATGAACAGAAAATGGTACTTTCAAGGGTAGCCTCACAGGAATCAGCATTGGACCTGTGTCACAGACCCAAAAAATATGGAGAAGTTCCCAAGCTCTTGGTGACATAGCCTTCGCCTATTCATATGCAGCGGTTCTCATTGAAATTCAGGTATATACAATACACCTTGTTCTTCAAAAACTAAGAATCAATCAAATTCTAAAATGAATATATAACTTATCATATAATAAGCTAGCCAATGTCTAATATATATGGTTCTTTGTTACTTTAGGACACCATAAAATCTCCACCATCTGAAGCAAAAACAATGAAGAAAGCCACACTGATAAGCATAGTAGTGACCACAACATTTTATATGCTTTGTGGCTGCATGGGCTATGCTGCTTTTGGGGATGCAGCACCTGGGAATTTGCTCACTGGGTTTGGTTTCTATAACCCTTATTGGCTTATAGACATTGCAAATGTTGCTATAGTGATTCACCTTGTGGGAGCATACCAAGTGTTTTCCCAACCCATCTTTGCCTTTGTGGAGCAAGGGGTGAAACAAAGATGGTCAAACATTGACAAGGAGTTCAAGATTCCAATTCCAGGTTTCACCCCATACAAACTAAACTTATTTAGATTAGTTTGGAGGACAATGTTTGTTATCCTAACAACTGTCATATCAATGTTGCTTCCATTCTTCAATGACATTGTGGGAGTGATTGGAGCATTGGGATTTTGGCCCTTAACTGTTTACTTTCCCTTGGAGATGTATATTTCACAGAAGAAGATCTCAAAATGGAGCAACAAATGGATTTGCCTCCAAATATTTAGTATGGCTTGCCTTTTAGTATCCGTTGTTGCTGCTGTGGGTTCAGTGGCAGGTGTCATGCTTGACCTAAAGAAGTATAAACCATTCCAATCAAACTATTAAGCTTTATTTTAGTTGCCTCCTTGCAGATGTAAGAGATTCCAATGGCATGATGGCTATGGTTTTGGTTTGTGTGTACCATTTATCTTATAGAGTATGTATAGATCATTTGGATTACTATAAGCCACTCCTTGTTTGAAAAAATCAAGGGTAGCAGTTTTCTTAAATCATTTAATGGAGTATGTCCAAATGAGCAATATATATATATATATATATGCCATCCTCAGCATGTTTGCTTATTTGAGGTTTAGAATTCGACAAGCTATTTTCAAGTTTCAATTGCAACTTATTTCTAGTAGAAATTTACTTACTTGAGACCACAATCCAAAAAATGGAAGCACTGCGTCTACAACCATATCAAACAAGCGTCTACGTCATTTACTAAATTACAAGAAAGGAACACATAGAAGACGGGATCTACTGTCATTAGGTGTAGAGCTAGATAAACTACACACCTTGTTGCAAAGAATAAATTTTTATAAATCTATGTAATTAATAAGTTATTATATTCTATTTTAATGTAAATGTAAGCAAATTTTTATCATCACCAAAATTATTCAAAATTTATACAATGATCATTAGAATATTATTAATTGTAGATTAATAACACTCTTACAAAAAAAATATAATTTTTTTCAATTTAAGAGAGATAGAAAGAGAAGGGCAAGAAATGGTAAATAAGATGAATGATAGAATGGTGTGTGTGTCTGTATATATAATTCTTGTTTGTATGATTCAATAATTAAATCAATAAAATTTACTTTAACTTCAAAAATTCTTATGAGACCAAAATTACATACAATTCAAACTAAACAGACCAAATATACAATTATAAAATCGCTCGTATTACCTTTTGGTACAATGATAACGGAGGTGTTAAGCTTTTCCTAGTGCATTTATTGAGAGCGAATTATTTTGCTGTAGACCAGCCTCCGTTACAACTTGACAATAAACAGGCCTAAGAAAACTTATAGAATCAATTCTTGAACTTATAAATATGGGGCTCAAACCATATTCTGCAAAATGCGTGGTTAACCAAACGAGGAACTCATAACTATACCTATAATAACAAAGTTATTCGTAAACTACTTAAATTTGATTTATTAAATATTCAATAATATAAATTTATTAAACTAAATAAACATTTCAATTTAAACTCAAATTCAATTATATGAATGAATGAAAATCAAATTTTATAAATATAAAGCTTTTGAATAACGTGTGTTTGTGTCTACGTAAATATACTCAATGACAACATTATAATTTTAGATGAGAAAAGACATAGATACAAAAATCTATATTTTATAATTATTTATTAAATTTTAATTTTACCAAAAGGTATTATTTTATTTATTATTTGCTACTACGTATGTGATTAGTGTATAAAGAAACTTTCTACTGTCTATTTATACTTACTCATTTTGTACGAATATATTTATTAAATATTAAATAAATTTAATAATACTTCAAAAAGAATTGATCGAGATATTTCAAAGATAAATTTGACAAGAGGATGAAACTACTCAAACATCATTTTTTTTAATAAAATCGAACTTAATCTTTATATTCACCTCACTTAAACTAAATGAGTCAAACTACAATATATATTACACGCTTCAAGTCGAAACTGTTCGTGCATAATTTGATCTGGCTTATTTACACCACTCGTAACCCTTTCATCATGGAGGACGAAATCTGTACATAGAAATCAAGTTGAATACACACAACTTATCAACGTAAAAAAAATGTACAGAACTTTTCCAGACCAAATGAAAAACGTACAAAAGATTTTCATCAGAAGCCTACGACTCTGTTGTCCCAGCATCAAACAAAATAGTTGAACATGCTCAACCGAACACCGCTGTTGACAAACAACTTAAATGTATAAAATGAAGAAGCTTGTGCGATGATCCATGTATAAATCGCAGCTTTTGGTGTCAATCTCCAAGATCGTATATGTATTCAAGAAATTGTACTATATCACAGGTAACAATAAAAGGAGGGCTTCCCAGGACCCACTTGGGGGTGGATCCTCTGTTGAACCCGAAAAAAAGGATTGCTCATGAACCCTCACTAGACAGGGATGATGAATAATAAAATTGATAGCACAAAAAGATATTTTACATCAACGAAACATGCTACATTAATAAAACATTTCTAGAAACCCAACAACCCTCTGGAAGAACATCAATTACACTAAAAACTCGAGACGCCAGGGAGCAATATTTCACCATCGATGCATTATAACTTCAATCAAAACAAATATGCAATTAGGGAGGTAGCTGAAGAAACAGGGTTGTGGTCCCCTCTGAACAGAACCGTTGAACAAATTACCTTGAAGGAGATAAATTCATCAAAGTCTAGAAAAGCTCCTCAGAATTGAATTTATTCCAGGCTTCCTGTAATGAATGATTAAACTTTCAACCAAAGATGGAGGCATTTATTCTGGACTCAGCAATATAACATACGAGTCTTGACACAAACACATTCATGTCAAATCACTTTTTACACATATTAATGCAAAAGAAGAGGGGGAAAATTATCTAAGTAATGAAACTGCAAATAACTGACCACTATCTGCAACTACCTATTTCTTTGGATAATGAACTGATGGTTTATATATTGGGAACACCAACAAACTATAAATAACTAACCGTAACCTAAACACTTTTTTAAATTAAAATTTACACACTAGAGGCATCATGAGATCAAACCCTGCTTGACCCACATACCATAATCGGCATCAACTAGTAATCTAACCGCTTCAAGGCTAACTATGTAGAAAAGAAAAAACTGAGCACACAACATGATGCAGTAGCTTGATAAATTCTGCACGGTGGCACTCAAATGTTTTATAAATCATAACAGTAAATTTTTGTTGGTTTAGAGCACAAAAAGAATAGTGTACGGTTTATATCACTTCTCTAAAATAGTAAATCTTTGTTCAACTGTTGGGTTGCTAATACAGCCAATCGTATAAAGCTACTAAAAAAGTGATGTTAAAAGTGTGTTAGCAGCAGTTCATTTAAATAAAATAAAATTTATATCATTCTCTCTGTTAGAAGTTGAATGCCTTCCAACACTATATAAAAAGGGCAAAAGTGGGAAAGTTTTGCAAACATTTCTACAAAAACAGATAATAACTTAAGATACATGATCAACGGACTCAGTCAATGGGTTCAGGGTAAACCCACCATTATTAACATATACTACCCTTTTCAACAATAACATATGAAAAGTGATTCTAAGCTGGAAAAAGATTGATGGAGATGAGGAAACAAGTAAACCATTGCTGACAGAACCAGAGTTCAAGAATCAAGGTGAGAACAAGCAACAGGAAAAAAATGATCATCTACAAAGGTAGTAGATCATTGTGAACCTACCCAGCTGCTACTTATTAGTGAAACAACTGGATAAATGATAGTATACAACGTGCTACAGAATTTTACCAGTGTGCTACAGGATAAATTCACTAGAATTTGCTTAGAAAAATAAGGCTAGCTTAATCTACATTCAGAAACCCATTGATGTCATTGGCTAATATAAACAAATTATTCTATCTTCATAGAGCATTGATTAGAAAGCATATGTAAGTCACATGAGAAAGCCAGAAATACCTTGAGTAGATCAAACACCTTCTCTGCAACATATTTCTGCTGTAGAGTGGCACCCTTCTGCTGCACTTTATCAGGATGAATACACAACGTAGCTTTCCTGTAGGCTTTTTTAACAGCAGCACCCGTAATCAATTCAGTCAAAGAAACTGGCTGCCAACCACATTCAGGCCACAGCACCTGATCATCATTTGTGAAGAAAACAAGTAAATATAATTGATACAAATTCTGTAACAAAAACAATATTGCCATAAATTAAGCGCCTCTTTTCACTGATTCAAAATTTAAATGCACGGATTTTCAGAGCATAAATAATTATGGAAACAAGTTGCTTAGACTTTCTCTAGATTGACAGTAATTGAATTATGAGTACATCCCGGCAATGTTTTCAAAATCAAACTTGTCATGTCTTTCGAAATATCTTATTAGAAGTGCTACTTTCAATAATATGAATTTTAATAAGCAGAGTAATTCAAACCTATACAAATCAGTGTTATAGTGTCAAAATCAGCACACCTATTCACTTCTAAACCTAGGGTGGTAAACTGATGATCGGACAAAATAGATGAGAAAATATATGCAAAAACAAAAAACTCCACCATGCAATATATTAAAGTTCGAACCAAGAATATAAAAAGAAAAAATAAAGAGAACTAATGCCTCTATATTTCCAGGCATTATATGGATCTTTGACAGAATATTTCAGAGAGATTATTTGAAGTTCCAGTACTAAGTACATACATATTGTAAGGTGGAGAGCAAGGCTCGTAAGTTCCCCTCTTTTCCTGCAGCCCAGCGCTTAATTTCGAAATCCAGTGTTTCAGCAAGCCTCTGAAATCAATGCAGAGACAAAATTAGATAACAGAAATAAAGAATATTGCAATAAAAACAGGAAGCTTTTATCAGTGGATTTTGCAAAATAGTTTTGGCTAGGACAACAATGAAAGGGAAATAGATTGTGTGGATGCAGCTGTTCCAAGCATATGAACAGAAACCTTTCACCTACAAATAAAATGGGAATTAAAAAAACTACTTACATGTCTCTCAGCTTGTTCTCTTTGAGTTTGTAAGTCCCGCTGATTCTTCTCAGCCAATGCTTTTGCCTAGTATAAAATGTCAAGGGTCATAACCAAAGACAAATAAGTAGAAACAATTCTGTATTAATAGATACACTTTACACTTCCACATAAATCTAATGTCAAATTGGTTAAAAAAGGTATTTTTTTCATCTATTAGTTTATTAACCATCAAGAAAGAATGAAGAAATCAAATTAAGGAGACAAATACAGTAATGCATTAACACATACAGCACGTTCCCGAGTCCTCTGGTGGCGATCCAACCTGGCTCGTCGCCTTTCTTCACTTTCTCCTTCAACTTCCTGAAACTCTCCCGATGATGGAGCAGCTTCAAACCATAAAAGAGAAGGGTTAGGAAGAGCCAGGTAAGCAATGACACAAACAATTATAACATCAATAATAAATATGTTGAAATGCAAATCTACCTCCAAAAATTGAGGAAAGATCATCAACAATATTGGTGGATGATGATGCTTTCTTCATACTTGCAGATGCACCCGTAGATTTCCTTGTTACATCTGACTGAAATTGGGAGTCAAATAGTGAGTCCTGAAAACATTCAGGTTCAGAAAATTAGCAACCAATTTTCAGATAGAATTATTCTAGTGTTACCGTTAACATGCATGTCAATCTTCATTTTTAAAATTTTATTTGAAAAATAAATTTTCTTAAATTTTTAAACAAGTACATAAATATCAACTTGTCATTTTAAAAATTCATTTTTATTTAGAATAAAAAAGGAAAGAATAAAATAACTATCCACTAACTATAACTTCTGCTTAACAGGGTTAGTTTTGCAAGATGGGAAGACACCAAATACCAAAGCCAAGTTTTGGCTGTTATATGTTAGCATAGAACTAGAGATTGAAAAAAAGGTTCTCACTGTAGAGTTAGCCCTAGGAGGCCTTGGAGCACTGCTAGCTCGTGCACCCATGCCAAAGAAGGATTCAAGATCATTTTCATTCTTTTGCTGATTCATCCTTGCAGCAGCCGCAGCCCTTTCTTGGGCCTCAGCTGCAGCCCTTGCTCGGGCCTCAGCTGCAGCCCTTTCTACAGCAGCACGTTCTGCTTTAACTCGTGCTTCTGCTTCAGCCCTTGCAACTGTAGCTCTTTCCCGTGCTTCCCTCTCTTTGGCCTCAGCAGCAGCCTTTTCAGCTCTTTCCTTTGCTTCTGCAGCAGCCCTTTCTCGGGCTTCAGCTTGTGCCCTTTGCACTGCAGCCCTCTCAGCACGCCCTCGAGCTTCAGCATTAGCTTTATCAACAGCAGCCCTCTCAGCTCTTTGGCGTGCTTCAACAGCTGCTCTTTCACGTGCTTCTCTAGTAGCTCTTTCTACAGCCTGTCTTGCCTTTTCCCTCTCCAGTCGCTGTTGTTCTCTTTCTTTCTCCTCCCTTTCTTTCATGAGTCTTCTTTGCTCCTGTTCCTCCCTCTCCTTTTGCTTCCGTTCAAGGTCTAACCTTTCATGTTTTTCTCTCTCCTGTAGCATGGTTCTCTCATCTTTTTCCATTTGCACGGTTTCTTTGCTTCTAGTAGATTTTGAATACTCTCTCTCCCTAACTTCCTTTGCATGTCTAAATTTTGCTTCAGCTCTATCCATTGCCTCCTTCATTGCTGCAGCAGCTGAGTTCATCTCTAATTCTTCATCCACAAGACCATTTCCACTCTCATCATCATTACCACGACTTCTGCCCATGGCAAAATCATCAAGTTCATCAAACTGAGATGGTGGTAGTCCTGTAGCAGCTGGAGCAGACTTCGGATCACGAGCGAATCGAGAGGAATTAGGAAAAGAAGAAAATTCATTAGCCTTGTTTCTAGCATTGGTAGAAGCTGGTGAACTTGTTCCTGACTTGGGAATATGTACTGGCCGCGGAGGAGGGGGTCTTGAAGGTGGTGGAGCAGTAGTTGGTTGTGTAAAAAGAGGAATCTCTGATACCGTCAGCCATACATCATCACTTGATTCCAAGTTTTCTTCATATTTTGGAGACATATCTACCCGAACACTGGCTTGTCCAAAACCAACATTATCATATGGAGGGGAAGTAGACCTTTGATCAACTGGTTTATTAGAATCAGATGAATATGTAGGCACGTAAAATGGGGCCTGTGGAAACTCCTGATCATTTTCAACAGGAATCTTGTTTTGTGAGTGCCACTCAGGACTCCTCCCAGACAACTTATCAATTTGTTCTTTATCTCTAGTCCAACTTGTGCTTGTATTTAACCTTGGGGAACTGCTACCCTTCCTGTTATTTCTCTCTGATGAGAGTGCTGGAACAGATTTTCCAAGTCCATCAAAAGGATCAATATTTTCATATACTGTTCCATTTGAAGTTGAAGAACTATCATTTTTTGGGCTTCTAGAACTACTAAATTTACTAATTTCTTCCAAAGGGTCCGTAAAGCGGCCTGGGGATGGATCCACTGGGGCTGAAGCTGATTCAAATACTTTGAAAGGGTCTTCTGCCACAGTGGAGGTCGTTTTAGACACACTGGCAGTTGGTTCTGAGGACAAACCGATATCCGGATTGTGCCTGTTAATAACAAAATGTGAAAAAGGAAATGATACATCAACTGTTCACAAAAATAAACAATATCTATGAATTCATCCAAGACGAGTATAAACAATTATCAAGTTATCCATTCCAATTAGCCAACAGATACATTTCTGTAGAGAGTAGATATTAGAGATTCACAGAAAATATAAGACACCACGTTCACAGAAAACATTTTGAATTAGATTTAGGCTGCATTTCACAAAAAGGAACAAAGAACTCTTAACACATTTTCTTTTTAAAAAGATTGCAAATGCATCTGTGATATTTGATTATAGCTTATTGTCATTCATTTCCACTCTTGGAGCTTTCCTAGTTGCACTATCCATGTTACTTGCATTCATCTTCACCACGGCTATTTAAAACATATTTGTCTGGACATTATATATATAAACTACAAAGTTTATAGAATAATGGACATTATATATATAAACTACAAACCAGATAATGAAACAAGTAGAATTTTATCCTCAACAAAACAAGATGCAAGTTCCAGCTACAAAATGATTGAGTTTGTTTGGACAATTAAAAGGAAAGGAAAGAGAACAACAATGATAAAGTAGTGACCTCTAAAGAATGGAAAGAACAACAGATATTATTTAGTTTATGTGCACTTATGTCCTTAAATAAAATAGATAAATAGAAATTGGTTATAAATATGTTTCTGTTCTGCATTTTACTCTAATTAGTTTTATACACGTATAATCACGTGTTTGCAAATTCAAATCATGTCTTATACCTTTTCCCCTCTTTTCTCTCCAATTCTACAAGGACCAAAGGGTCAAGGTAATATTGGTTCCTGGAAATGGAACAATCCTCTACTCTTCTTCTACCACATCAAATCCATATAATAATAATAATAATAATAGTTGGAAAAGGCTTTTGTAGTAATAGAAGTAGTAGTAGCAGTAGCAAGAAGGAAAATAAGAATAAGAATATAATGGATTTGATCAAAGCATCCTCAGGACAAAAAAACTTTCTTTCTTCATGGTAGACCTGGTACACATCAGCAACCTGATAAAACAAAGAATTCACTTTGTAGAAACAGAAAAAGAAAAATATCACCTGGAACCTCAAAAGTTACTTCTATTTGAAGGATAACCCTTGATCTAGAAATAAAAATGCAAAACTAAATCTTTTTAAGGTGCATGGAATTCTCAAACTCTCAGTAATTTAGGTTCAAAATTTGATTGCAATAACCACATTCTTGTCGTACTACAAAGTGCACATGTAACTTAAGTTGACCCAATTAAAAAATGAAGAAAACCATTAAAGAAGTCACCTCATTGGTCCCTTTGAAACTCTTTTCACTTGTTCAATTGTGAAACTGGACAAAAGTATAGCAGAAGTCACTAAATCTTTTCATTCAAACTGTGCTGTGCCCCCTAAATATCTACCAGATAGATTGCCTAAAAGACTGATATCACATGAACAATAACATAAGATCGTGCACAAGTGACAAGTGACATCCAATGAATCTTCACTCCAACTACAGTTTGCAATACATTGACAAATGAAATACTTAGAGGAAAACAATTTTGAGTAAAAGCATATCCCCCCACCAAAACCCCACCACCACTTGCACCCTCGAGTTAGTCGTATAGTCTATTCTAGAATGGCTCCCTCCAAGTTCCAAACAGCAAAGACCAATTTCAGATGGAGTCGATGGACCAGAAAGTTCAAAATTTAAACAATTCATTGATTTCTTTAGAGGATTAAATCAGAGGGTCCAACATGACATCATGTCCAGTATTGTGTATACAGTGATGATGGACTTTTCTATTCAGGGGGACTAAGTATAGTATTAGATAGCCATGGAGATCACCAGGGAGAAATTCTAGATGTACATGATCTTGTATAGACACATAGACAATTCAAATTTCAGGAAGATCATTGCCAATCATTTGTCTTCACCATATAAATTTAAACACAATCGGTACACCATTGATTATTCTAAAATCAACTGACTCTCTAAAGGAGCTCATCACTAATCAACATTTGTAATTTCTAAAAAGCTTTATTCCATCTAAGCAGAATGTAACTAAGAGTATATAACATTACAGCATATCTGTGAAAGAAAATAGTTCCTTCACAGTAGATGAAATTTTAAAACCGTAGAATTTGAATCTAATTGTAGCCGTTCCGGTTTAAAATTAAAAATATAGCCATTTTCATCATTTCTCACCAATTTTTCCAATTTAAAAACGTGAATGAAAACTCAAATTGGTTTAAATCTACCATATATGATAAAGAGCAATAAACACATCCACATACTTTCTTGCACATTAAGCAAAAGTTGAGAACCATGAATGTCACTACTAAACAATAAACAATAAACAATTCAAATTCAAAAGAATCCCAGACACCAAAAAACAAAACAAAAAACTGTTAATATACCTGTCACTAGAAGACCTACTGCTTCCGAATCCAGCAAGCAAATCATCAAAATCGGAAACACCTTTATCATCCTTCTCCGATCTCTTTTTACCCGAACTCTTCGATTCCTTACCAAACCCTCCAAGAAGATCATCAAACGCAGCGGCACCACCGCTGCCACTTTCCGAAGTCGCGGAGACAAAAACATCATCGAAATTAACCTTGGACGTGCTCTTCAACCCTGGCACGCCGTCAAAAATGTCGTCATCGTAGACCGGTTTGTCGTACACCGGCGAATTGGCGGACCTGGAAGGAAAATCAGCAGAAGGCCGACCATACATGGAATCTAAATCGAACGGGGAACCGGCTCGGCGAGTATCGGATCCAGCGCCGGCGAGAAGATCGTCGAAGGCTGCGGCGTTTTGGTTGTTGCCCGAAGCGGAGGATCCGAATACGGAATCGGATCGCGATCCGGAATGGAAGTTGGAAGATCCCTTGGGTGCAGAAGCCATTGGTGCGGATTTACCCTGTGGCTGAGGTTTGAGACCGAAATCGGAAGAGTTGAAGAGGCCATCGAAATCGTTCATGGTTGGGTGGTGGCGATGAAATTGGGAAGTGGAATGAGGAGGGAGGGAGGGATCTGGTGTGTGCGGGTGCAGGATGCAGAGAGCATGCAGGTGCGGTGTGGTTATTAATTAAGTTTGGAGTTAGAAGAGTTAGAATGAACGAACGAACGAACGAAGAAGAGAAGGGAAGAGAAATAGTGGAAGGTGTGTGACCTGTGATTCCTCCCTCCTTTTGCCTTCTTGGAGAATTTCCCATGACCCATCCACCCTGTTTAAATTCCTTTTCCCTTCACTCATCCATTCTTGCATCCCTATTACCCTTACCCTATTATATTAATATTATTACTTTTAAATCTATAAACTCACTTCTAAAAACCAATTAAAATGACTAATCAAATACACGCTTACATGTATTAATTCATTGGCTCTAACTTGTCAATTTGGATACCAAAAAAAAATGTCCTTGAGTTAATTTTGTTTATTTCTCATGTTTAGCTCCATTTTTTTTATATAAATTATGTGTGACTACAATTGAGTTAGGTCTCGGATTTGCATGTGCAACTTGGCTTCATTTTTATTTTCACATGTATATTACTAACATAATTAAAAATATATATTTAATTTTTCATTCAATATTATATTTGTAAATTATTAAAATAAGTAAATTATGAAAAAAACCAATTAGGAAGTTCAAGTTTTATTGATTATGTTAATAAAAATTATCGGGTATCTTTAGATTTAAAGAGTCAAAATTTAATTTATGTTTGCAATTCATAATTGTTGCTGGTTAAAAAAATTCACAAAATAATATTTTATGAAAAAAAAAAACATAAAATTATTGACTCGTTATTTTGAGATAACGGTTCTGCTCCGTCTTTATAGTATTTTCCTTTTGAGCATTTCGAAGCAAAACCATTTGTATCTAATTTTGTGGAAAGATTATCACATTATGACTAATTGAGGGTCCAAATTACATTTTCTCTTAAAAATTCCAAATTACATGTTATTGGTTTTAAAATGATCAATTTAACTTTAACACAAACGGTTTTCGAGTTCTCATTTGTTCATGTATTATGTTGTCATTAAAAAATTAATTTGACAATATTAATATTAAAATTTATATTTTTTTTAGAGTTTTGTTAAGAACTGAGAATAATCAGCTAACAATAATAAAATTTTATTAAAAAAAGTATTTATTATATTTTTATAATTTTAATACAATAATTATATATATTTTTTATAAAAAAATGTATTTATGAATGTTTAAACTCAAACTGGAATTTAAAAAATTATAATTTTAAAAAAATATTACTTTTATATATTTTTATAATAAGAAAGATATAAAATGAAATAATAAAAAATAATATTATAAAAATTATTATATCAATAATTTGAAATGGAAAGAAAGATTTCACCATTTTAATTTGGGGCAAGGTGGAATGGTTGAATCAGACAATCTTAGTCTAAAAGGAGAGTGGGGAATTGACCGTGTCATTTTTGTCATAATCCTCTCAATTTTCTACGTGGTCAAATAGAACTAAATAATATAAATTATTAAATGATTTAGAACTATCACGTAACTATAGTTTCAACCGATCATTTTATAAAATGAGGTAAATAAAAATTATGATCTGAGTAAGATCACTAACCCAAGGTAACTTTTTATTGAACAGTGTCTCCGTACCATGCAATTTGACATGGTCCTATCTTTATGCGTCTTGCCGTACGTAGATTTTCTTTCTAAACAGGTGCACCCATTTTTTTGGTCCAATGAATTGTGAACGTGTACTTGACTTATCTTTATTATTTTATTATGAAGACAACAAAATTAAGTATATGCAATATATAAATTTACTTAAAAAATTAAAATAAAATCATAAAAAATTGAAACAAGTATGAAAAGTCTATATAGGAATGGATTTCCATGGATGCAACGCCCAAGAGTAAGTCAAAATCTTGAAATAGTGTTGGTTGTTCTTTTTTATACACACAATTAATAATTAAATTTTTAGGAACACGTTTAACAACACTTAGTTATCTACTAATCATACTGTACTTTATTACTAATCCTTTTAGTAATTTAATAAAAAATAAAACAGAAAGTATGAAATAAAATAAAACTATTATTATAAGTATGAAATCTATTGTTTTATTTTTAGAGTGAGATTATTTACATGTATAATCCTTGCATGTTTATCCATCTACGTTATTTTGTGATACATATATTTTGAGATTTTATAAAACATAAATTAACTTAATTGTATTTTTATTCTCTATACTTTAATTTATATGCAACTTTGATTTCATGTTTAATTATCTAATTTTTAAAATGTTTAAATTAAGTTTTTATATCAAAATTAAGATTTCTATAATATATATATATATATATATATATATATAAATTAATAAACTTTTATATTTCTATTATTTTTTTTAATTATTGGATAAAATTTTAAACTAAATGGTTTAAATTGAATATTTAAAAAAATTAGAGTACAAATATTAAATAATTAATATTATTTTCTTATTCAATATATCAAAGATTACCTTCTTATGAGCATGAGATATGCATCGACAAAGAAATTTGATTAAAGGCATAAAGATGAGAAATTTTTAAATGCTCAAAAGTATATATATATATATATTCACCACAGCAGATTGTCAAAACCAACACTTAGACGTGTCGACCACCTCCACAACCATTAAGGTCTTCAGCCAAACGACTAGATATCAATACGAGTGATTCTTACATGGATATCACATTTTTGGGTCCGTTTCGGAATTTTCTTTTTAATCTCATCTTTTTCTTTAGTACAAATTATAAGATGATATAATGCATTTAATTGGTTATCTTGAAATGCATGAAATATAAATAATGCTTTTTATAAGAAATAATTAATTAATGCATTAAAATTAATAAAAATTTGTCATAAATTTATTATCTAATAATTAAATTAGTGAATGAAGATACAAGACATTGCTGCACAACATGTACTTCGGATGAATATTTGAACCTCGTAGAGCAAAAACTTGGCAGAAACTAAATAGTAAAATGCTGTTTTAAGCGAGTCCATTCGACACGAGTCGAGTTAATTTAGGCCTAAGACGGTTTCGAGTTACCGAGGGAGCCGAAAAAACAAAAGAAAGCTAGATAAAAAATGCCGTAGATATGGCCTACAGAAGAAAATTTATAAGTACTCAGTCTGATAAAACCAGAATTCAACACCTCTTCAAACTGCTGTTAGATTTCATGTTTTTGTAAGCGTTGATATCAAAGGGTGAAAAATTATATTAAAAAATTAGACTTTACTCACTCTTTACAATTTTAAAAGAAAATTTCCCATTTTAATCATATGTTTAACCAATATAAAATATCTTAACAACTTACAAAACGGCTTTATACATTTATTATTAGTATATTACATGCATAGAAAATACCAAGTCAAAGTCATATTTTCCCAGATCATAGCAACCGTCATACCGATTCATCGTACCAACATATAGACTAACTAATACCTAACATTCTAACATAAAAACCTCCCACACTTTTATTGCGTTATGCACAAACTAGTCCTTATCCCCAGATCCTCCTTGTTCTCCATGATTTGTTACATCATTCTCTTGAACCCATTATATTGGGCTACTAACTATCAATTGACATCACTTTCTGGGACACTTGTATCACATTTAATTCCCATGTCTGAAGTCGGACCTTGTGATCCAGAAACCTGCCAAATCATAGCAAGTTGTCGATGTATCAGATTATTTTGTGTTTGGAAGTTTGTATTCAAAATGCGGAGAGCTTACAGTTTCATCAGGAACAATTGCATATCTATCTGATATGGAAGACGAGGACTTCCCTGTTTAAGAAAACAATAGAACATTCAGAATAATGCCAAGTTATTTAATATTACACTGTCAAAGGTATATATCCACAATGGAAAAAGAAAAGGAACACTCAATCACAAATGAGCGAGCCAAAGCACCTGATGATGGGTAAGCTTTGGAGGATTCTATGTGCTGCCCACTAGACCCATCCACACTGAAGGCCTCAATAACTGTTGGAAGATTCCTATAAATCCCAAAAATATCACATTATTATTCAAGCCATGCACTCATTACCTAAGAGTAAGACTATTTCTGGTTAGTAAATGAAGACATGCATCTTTAACCAAGTGCCTATAGAAAATCTTTGAAAGAGGTAAAAAAGTATTAAAATGGACATTGAATGTGTTACTGATAATTGAATGTGTCATGCAATTACCGGTCTATGGTTTCTCCATGCCCAAGTTGTCCATTTGCGCCTCTTCCCCAAGAATATACATTCTCGCGTTCAGTAACAGCAAGCGTGTGTCTCCACCCACATGACATCTTAACTATTTTCTACTAAGCCAAATAAAAGTTTGCAGAAATGAAAATAGAAGCTCATTATTACACACAGCATTTCCAAAAAGCAAGAGAAGGGAAGAAGGGTGTTACAGTTTTTCAAGTACCTGATCACGGGGAAAGTTCAATTGCACGGGAGAGGAACAATCAGAGTTGTTACCAACTCCAATCTGTCCAAACTACAGTTGAAGATAAAACATGTTACATTTTACCAATTACAGATGTTAACACTTAACAATGATAACGATATAAACAATTTATTTCCATGATTTTAGTAATTAGTCTTAGATATCTTTATTTTGTATTTTAAATATGTTTTCAAACTATTACTATCTTCGTGTATCATCTTTGCTTATATAATAAACAATATGGTTGCCTGACTCGTTGATATAGTTCATCTAGCCTTTAATAAAAATATTTTCAAATATTGTTAGTATATTTTTCTGTGTGTATATTCAAGTGCATTCTTTAACCAACCATCAACTTCTATCCTCTACGTTTTATTCACAAGTAATTCATGTTTTTGTCATATGAAAAATATCATGAAATGAAAATAGGAGAAAAAAATGTGCTACCAACCTTATTCCAACCCCAGCCCAAAAGTTGTCCACTAGACGTGAGTGCCATACTATGTCTCCACCCACCCGATATCTGAAAGAAATCCAAACAAAGTTAGGAGGCAAAATGACAATTATAATTGCTTTACATTGTAACAAACACATCCCATGTAGGACAAGATCCTGAGTGACCAAGTTTTGTTTATCTTAACCAGGTTAAATTTCTAGAAAGCTATAAGCAACAAAAATGACAAGACATCTAAATGAGAGTAATCGCTAAGCGGAAAAATAACAAGACATATCTACCAACTAAGCACGAGTTTAAAGGACAACCTGAGAAATGAATTTATCACTCAAGGCTTGAACCTTGCGAGGCACAAGGTGGTCCTCAAAATCTCCATGTCCTAGCTGGCCATATTTGCCCCATCCATTCGTGTATAATCCCCCAGAATATGAAGCAGCTATTGTATGCCGCCAGCCACAAGCAACCATGGCTATCTTGTCACCCTGCAAAGTTGGTAGTTATGATATCAGAAGTTAATAACAGGAAATGCTGCTTCTTCCAAGTTAATAGAAACATTAACTTGTTTAGGAATCAGACAATAAATATAATATCATTATATAGTTTTTCAAACAGTAATAGATATCATTACAGTCTAATCTTGTAACTTTATACAAGTTTGAGGACATACATCAACAATCACTTTCTCAGGGAGTAGGCGATCATTTCTGTCTCCCAATCCCAAGTTTCCATATCGCCCCCATCCCCATCCATACAAATCCCCATCTTCAGTTATTGCTACACTATGTTCGGCACCAGCAGCTACCATTTTGATAGGTATTCCCTACAATATAGTACAAAAGTTCATATAAGTGTTCAAGTAGTTATTGGAATAATTTGTGTGATGCATATAAATTTTTGTTGTTCAAGTAACTCATATGATGCCATGAGTCAAGAAGTCAACTCTGTCTTGACAAGAGAGCTGTTGCTGCTGCTGTTTTTGTTGATGTTAGCAGTTTTTCCTTCGTCATTTGTTTCAACTGGAGGATACTTTAAAACTGTTCAGTGACCTCATGGTCGCTGAAATTTCTTAAACTTCAATCAGTTAGAATGATGTTGTCGGCATCTATGAGCATACTTTCTTGCTTTGGATAATAGGCTAATAAATAACAAATTAAAAACAATCAAACCTGATTACTAAGTAAACTACTGAATCCATCTTATTGAGCACTGATAACCAGGTCAGAGTATTTATTATTCATTATAGATTAAGCAGATTCAGATCTGAATAAAGTACCTCAAATGCTTGAATTTTTTGTGGCAAGAGAGAGTCCCCCGTGGTACCAAGTCCAAGTTCACCATTTTGATTGCGCCCCCAACTTTTATCAGAACAGGAAAATCATATAACCATAGTTTTAGTCTTAAAAAAGTACAAATAATATGTAAAATCTAATCATTATACGTTGTCTGACTTGTGCTGGAAATGGAAAAAAAATTGGAAAGGATTAGCAGTTTAGTACCATGCAAAAAACATATATAGAGTGCAATAGGTCACACCGGAAATTATTTCTATATTGCTATATTATAAATGGAATGTTCATTAGGAGGTGTATTCAGGTTAAACGAGAGTTAAAGCTTAACTAAATGCATGAACCATGGCCAAGGTAGCAGAGCCAATCCATTGAGGGAGAAATTGGGTGGGAAATGATTTTAGTTAAGAGTAAGAAAACTAAAACAACGCAACACGAGTGTGTCAATAAAATAGACATTATAAAGTAACCTCTTTCCGCTCCCAATAATGTCAAATAAAGATCCTCTTCAAATATTTTCTCAGTTAAAAAAATAAGAAAAGAATGGAATGAAAGTAAAAAGATGGGACCAAAGAATCAGATTAAGCTATCGAATGACTCTCAGTGATTCTAGTTCCACTGTCACTTTCCACGTATACTGTCAACCAAGCAACTCAACCTTTATTTTTGACCGAGGAAAAAGGTGAGAAATAGACAAAAGAGAGAAATTACCTCAGCACCTCGCTATCCATGGTTACTGCCAAACAGTGACTGTCCCCACAAGCAATTTGCTGTATCCATAGACCCTGCAATGCTTTAATGGGATGAGGAATGAGCATGTCACTACTATCACCATGACCCAACCTTCCAAAGTCACCCCTGGAAAGCCATAACACAATCTGCTTGAGAACGTAGAAGATATCACAGTCACTAATATGATAAACCACATTTCAAAAAACTCCTTCTAATTGCCGGGTAATTGTGAACAACAACAGAAGACATGATATGTCCAACATTTGATAACTCAACATCTGATCAGAGTTTTAGTACAATAAAATGTCCCAAATCAAACTTTCTCTTCAAGGCAACAAAGTTCAACTACCCAACACCTTCACTAAACTAGCCATTACTTACTTGAAGCTGAATCTAGTACTACATCAGTACATGTATAAACTTGTACGGCCCCATTATCTCAATTATGAAAACCACACTAACCAAAACATAGTTAAGATGGAGGGCATAGCATACCATCCCCAACTATATACATCCTTGCCAGACTCAGAACGTGCCATTGTGTGATCAGCTCCACAAGTGACACATATTATGTCTTGCCCATCCAATGCATTCAGTTTTGTAGGTAATAGTCGATCTTCAGTATCACCATGGCCTAATTGTCCATCCTCTCCTCGTCCCCACGAGCAAACAACATTCCCAGCTGTTAAAAGGATCAAAATTAACAATAAAATCACAGAAGCTACAGATCGAGATAACATGATTATGAAGATCATTCTTCAACAAAATTGCGCCATGAAAGCCACAAAACTTTAAAACATGGAAGATGAATGAATAAAGTTAACAAGGTAGCTATGGTAGAAAATTTTGCATTTAATTGATCAAGTTAAATGCGAATCTCAATAGCGGAATCAATGAACTCCACATTTGGCTATGCCACTATCAAACACTAGACCATGTAAATGCAAACACATAGCACCAGACATGGATTTGAAGCTTCTGGGGACCACAGAGAACACAATCTGAGGCCAATAACAAACTGATATATTGGGTGGATACATTCAGCGCAAGGCAAAGAAGGCATATAAAACAACAAAACACTTCTAAAACATGTTTAAGAAACTGAAGTATAATAAGACATGATTCAGCATAGTGACATCAATCTTAAACAAAAAGAAAAACGATCAATTACTTAGAAGGGCCACAGAGTGGCTTGCACCAGCTGATATGAGAAGAACACGACGGGGGGGAGCAGTGACTTCACTCATCACTTCATCTTCAATTGCCATCTCTAGCTCTTTGCTTAATTTTTTGGTGGAGAAAAAGGTGACAAACGTGCTTCTTTTATAGCAGCAGAGAGAGAGAGAGAAACAACAACAGAAGCATAAAAGAAATCGAAAAGAATTGTGCATGCTCTAAGAGTCAAAGTTAAAAAGTCTCACAAGAAACAAAGGAGTAGGTGAAAGTTTAACGTATTAATTAAGTAGATCATTTAAGAGACTATCTGCTTCCTCATTTTTCAAGTTTTAATTCCCTTACCAAATCTAATGTAAGTCCTCTCATCGCTCAAAACATTTCTTAAATCTACCTACTAACCAACTAATCACACGATAATTAAGTATGTCCTCAACATAAATAAAAAAAGGATTATAATAATTTATAAATATCTTTAATGTTTAACTCAATCTTAAAAATTAAAAATACTATAATCCATTAATGAAGAATTTGTCTAATTTACAAGATCTTACTAAACAAAATTAAAAAAATCATATTAAAAATTATGATAAAAATATGAAATATTTTTATAAATTTTTAACTAATATTGTTGCATGTCATTTAACAAGATCGTTATTTAAAGAATAATACTAAATCATCTTTATTCTTACAAATCTCCTTAATTATTAAATGAAAATATGTTATATTTTATATTTTTAAAATAATAAATATAAAGAAAAATACTTTATAAAGTAATAAATAATAAATAAGATAATATAGCAATGTATTTTATTTTATTGAATAATAATTTAATTAACACTTTGAATCAGACAAGGAACACAAAAATAAAAATAAAAAACTGAAAAGAGGATAAACGTACTTCACGTTGTTGGGGATGGCCATATGTGCAGTGTATGAGAAAAATGATAGTGACATGTGCATAGCACAGGGGTTCTCCTTGGAGATGGAAGGAGACATTGGATCAAGTCAAGGGACAAGTGAAAACGATTGGTTATGTTGGTAACGTAGAAACGACAACATTTAATTATGATTATGATTGGTTTTGGTGCACTCTCTGCCATGCAACCACCACCTATTTGATATTTGCTGTCTTTTGGGACTGCGACTAGGCTTGTGGACTTTCCACTCATAATATCTATTGCTTATCTAACATTTCACGTGATGTTACTGTTTTTCACTTTGAATTTAAGATCTGTGATTGTAATAATTGCGATTTTTACAGGTTTTCAAACATGGATGCTGATCGCTGATTCCTGATTGTTCAAGTCGTGTTTCTATTTCAATTACTTGTCTTAATTTAGAGGGTATTAACACCAAAAACTTCCTTATAATTTAACTCATTATAATATAGAAACTTGCACAAACGGTCTTGTTAACAACCTCAAAGCAGACCCCAATGATGGACTGTGAAAATGGATCAAGATACTCTGTAAAAACTAGAATTTGAGTTTTATTTTTCTTTAAATAAAAATAGTTTCATTTAAGTTAAAATGAAAAAAATAATTTTTTCACTTTAAATTAAATTAATTTTATGTTTTCTCTCGTCAATATTTTATTTTCTTTCTTTTCGTTGATGCTTAATATTCTTTTTTAAAATTTTTTATTCATTTTTTTATATTCAATTCTTATCTTTTTTTTTTCTTTCCTTCGCCTTTATTCTTTAATTTATATTCAACTTTTTTATTTCTTTTTTATTCTTACTCCATTTTTACATCACTCCATATTTATCTTTTTTTTTTCATAACTAACTCTTCCACTTTTTCTTCTTCTTTTCTTACTCTTCTCATTTTCAGTCATTTCATTTTTCTTTCTCCCCCATGTTTAGCTCTCTTCTTGCGAAAACAGTTTAAAATTTGCTTAAATTAACAAATTTTACTTAAATAAATTTTATATAAAATAAAATTTTTATTTTTTATTTTAATTAAACAAATATACTTTTACTTAAAAAAATATAACTGTACATTCAATTTTTTTTCTACCTTAGTAGCTTGCAAAAGAATTTTGAATTAATTGTAAGTGTCACATCAATGTTCTATACATCTCGTACAGTGATGATTAATCACTTGAACCCGAATACAGTGACTTATAACTTAGCAATTAGCCACTTGAATCCAAATTACTATAAAATGGTTACGTATAATTCCATGTGTTACTCGTGTCGTGTACTCCTCAAAGACACACCGATTCTGCACCGATATCGTTTCACATGTCCTCATTGCTGTATATTTTGACATGATTGTCAAGTAGTTCTTGCCATCTTCGAGGAAAAGTACAGAATGGTCGTTCTGTCATGTCAAATAAGTGAGATTAGTCTAAAAAAGTGAAAAATATTAGACCAAGAAACAATAGGTTAATAATATTTGAGGGAGTCAAATTTGAATATCCCTTGAGATACAGCTAATTTACTTATTTATTAATTAACTCACACATGTAACAAAATAAATTATATTGGTAAATTTTAATATTTTTCTTTTTTTTATAATAAGTAAAATATATATTTTTTAAAAAGTGTTAAAATATTATGAATTATTGACAAAAATTTAACAATAAAAAATGAAGAAAAAATAATCGATGATATAAATTATATGTTTAAAATAATATATTAGTAAATTTAATATTGTGTTTATTGTGAAACTTTTTTTATTTTCAACAATTTAAAAATTTTCGTATTCTCTGTGTATATGATCTGCGATTTAGGTGAATATTCTTATTGTTGCGACTATAAATACTTTTTTATTCTCATTAATAAAACATCTCTTTTTTCTTTGTCTTTCCAAAACCGATAAACAAATTAGTGCTTTTTTTAAGTTGTTTACCTTAATTACTACATAGTTTCGAGGAAGATCTATGTGGGGCACTTTTTGGATGTGGAATGTTCATTAACCTTTGTATTCATCTTGTTTTCGATTTATTTGGGTGCACTGCGTTTTCATAAGCTTCATGGATTGGCCAGGTGAGCAAAGTAGCAAATTTGGGCAATGTAAGTATAACAATTTACAAAAAAAATATTAAAAAAAAACAAAAAAAGACAACGTTTATTAATGGTAGAATAGTTTATGCATTTCTACCTTTCTTCTGTAAAGATGGAGCCATTTATAATGTACAAATGCAATAAAATGTGATATAAACTAAGGTGTCAAAAATGGTAATGCATGCAAATCCATGCTTTCATCATTTAATAACACCTATAGGACAGACCTGATGTCATGTATTGCATTCTTTTAAAATTGTACATAAAGTTTTTCACATCAGTTATAAAATTGAACTAATGTACAACTTATATAGGTTTACATTGGGAATGAGGTTGGGGTCTTTTACAGCAGTTGGACAACATAACTGATGTAGAAGTAACTACTACGTATAAAAAAAAACTTTTTACATCAGTTCTCTCCACTAAACCAATGTAGAAAGTTTTTTTTTTTTTAAATACTTTTGCATCATTTTTCTGAGAGAACCGATGTAGTAGCTACTTAAAAAAATAACTTTCTACATCATTTTTCTCCAGAAAACTAATATAGAAAGTTGTTTTTTTTTAAAAAAAAAACTTTATGTATCTATTTTCTAAGAGAACCAACGTAGAAAGTTGTATTTTTTAGAAAAATACATTTTGTATGTCTTCTCCATTTTTGCTTTTTCTAATCACATTTCATCTTCTTCTTGACTTTGTCAAAGGTCTTTTCCTTTTTGATGAGATTTTTTCAGCCATATCTCTGCTTATTTTTTGTTATACAAATTGAAACTCAGTTTTGATTGATAGGGCGGTGCATGCAATTCAGAGAAAATTATGGAGGAAGCCACGAAGGAGAATAAGGAAAGATCACATACTGAGTTCCGACGAGGAAAGACAACATTTTTATCTCTACGCAATTCCATTTTCATAAACACATGTTTGTATATTTAAATTTTAAGGACAATAAATTAGACTTAATTACACACAATTCAAAATTATACAATGCATCGATATTAGAATTCTGTGTTTTGGGCTTTATACACTCATGTGTTGATCTCTGCAGATTGGTTTATATAGAAAATTTAAAAAATTTATGCATATTTTATGTTATGCATATTGGTTTATGCAGAATCCAAAATGTCAGTTTTACATTATTATCCCTTTTCATTTGCCTCACTCATAACTTCTCTCCTATTTGTTCACCTTTTTAACTTTTAATCTTAGCCATATATTTTTAAACTACTTTCATCAACGACTCAAACTCAAATATGAATCACTTATATGAAAATAAAACTTTTAAACCAAAACACTTATTACAAAAGAAGGGAAGATATAAGAATTCATCAATTATATTGGGTTAATTTAGTCTTTTTAGTGTTAAAGTGTTATTTTGGGTGATTCTACTATTTTCCTTCTCGCAACATAAACATGTCTTTTTGAAAAGTTTCAAAACAGTGTGGATCGTCGATTAAAATTAGATGGTTAAAAATAAAAGACTGAGGACCAATGATACAAGTGAAATTATGAAAGAATAAATATGTAATTTCATGTTTAGTTTTCTGTTCTTCCTTCATCATCTTCTTTTTTTGTTGCTTTGTGTCCTTTTTTCCATCTTTTATTCTCATGTCATTGATATGACCTAAATTTGGCAGTCTATATTCTACCCTACCTTCCTAAAACATGAAGATTTTGCAATATAGATATTCCAAATGGCCCCTTTCTTTGAGTTTTGGTTGATCATATATGGAATGTTTGTATGAAATTGACATATAATATGTATAAATATGAAATATTTAAACATTATGCCCATTCGTGATTTAGTGACGTTAAATTCAACAAATTACAAAATTTGTGATGTAGTTGTACATCAGTTATCTGAGACAACTAATGTACAAAGTAAATTATAAATAAAAAAAATTAAACTCTATATAGAGACAGATCTATGAAGTAATGTTTTTTTAAAAAAATACATTGGTCTTATGAGAAGCAATGTAGAAAATAGGTTTATTTTTAATATTATATGTATATCGGTTTGGTGGGACGATGAATGTTAATATTATTGATTTATAATAAAATGTTACATTATACGTCGGTTGTCTCAGATGAATGACTTAAAAGTTGCAATCTTTTAATAAAAAATCATATCTACATCTG